GAGAAAAATCCACTTGAAGGCCCGTCAAACTGGGAATTACTAGTGGGAAACTCGTCTATCATCCCCGAGCTCCGACTTCTCCCACATGCTGACCTCTGAAGTCACCTACTAAACAAATGACCTCAATAACAGCATTTTCATCAGTTAAATGCAACAACAAAACATGATTTATTAAAAGTAATCTATTAATATGTTTTTTGAACCCTATAATTTGTTTGCGAGTATGATGGCTGTGCTTTAAGTTTATGGTTGACTCAGCTTGTTTGCCATTAGCCAATCAGCATTGCTCAACGATTTCAAAGCATGTGAATGCATCCAACTGATATTTACTACATCAGAACTTGAAATTACCACCTTCCCACTTGGTTATGAACACAGCATTAGAGCCTCTCGTTTCATTTCTCATTCTCAGGGGGTAGGCTACTGTCTGACCAGCCAGGCCAAGGGTAGTGTGGATGATTGTTTTCATTTTGTCAAAGTATTATAAGACAAAAGTACTGACATTTCTGTATTTAAATTATTATAGATTATGTTATATCAGTTTTCGGTTATTTTATTTGCTCCCTATTATTTAGCCTATTAGGCAATATGCACTTAGGCCAATACAGTTTTAAAGCTAGATTTATTTATTGCTACATCAATTTTTGGACTTATAAGTTAATAATATATGCTTACCCATTGATTCTTGAAGAATATAACTTATACAGTAAATGCCTCATGAGCTTAGTTCAACTGTCATATGCCATCAGAACCCAAAATATAAGCTTGTTTTATTCCAATGTTTGTAAACAATGTTACATTTTAAAAAAATGTATATATATATATCATGGATCGTTAATCTTTGTATCCATAGCTCTGTCTATGAATTCAAGAGTAATTAAATTTTTCCAGGCCGGTCCCTCAGCTTTTTGACAAAACAGAGGCGGGGACTCCCACTTTGTTATTGTTTCAATTAAGGATTCTAGCTTTAATATAGCCACTCATTAATTGTTTGTTGTTGTTTGTACTGTTTTTGGTTGTTTGTAATATTGTATTTTATATGTATATGTATTTTATGTGAAATGTTTGTGATGCTAAATGTTTTTATAAATCTACCCAGGGACTACAGATGAAAACTACTGAACTACTGAACTACTGAAATGTTAATTGATGTGCATTGTCCCTGTCAAATAAATAATTACAGACTATATACAGTATATTGAATAATGTTAATATTATAAATGTTGAATTTACCATTTCAGGCAACTAGGCCATGGAAGGTGCATCTTTCTTGCTGCCACGCCCATGTACAGTTTTTGGCACACGATTGACCGCCAGTTGCATGCCTCATGTTCACAGTGCGGCGGCGCTACTTTCATAGCAGGGGCTTTTGGGATAGCCTACGGTCCTTTTAGCCTATTTCACTATTCAGATTGACCACTACAGTGTATGTGCACTGTAAAGTCGTGCTGCCGATGCAATTAGACTACAAGTATAACAGCCTATAATGTCTAAAAACATTCATATAGATCAGGGGTAGGCTATTCAAACTGGGGTACTGGAGGTAGTTGCGACTCACTGGAGTATCTGACATAAGATTTTTTTTTTAAAGCACCCGCATCGAGTAGTGTATTAGGGGGTAACTAGCAACGTTTGAAGAAATAAATTGTCATGCTTGGGTGAATTAACTATAAAGGGAAATAAATGGCTACAGTTTGCACCTTAACTGGCCCCCGGGGGTGCCAGTTACCCCGGTAGAAGATTATGGCATAGGGTTTCACACAAGTGTGTTAAAATCAATTTAATCCATTTTATTTAGAAATTCTTTAGTAAGTAATACTTAAAGCTAAGTCTAGTTGTCTTATTTTAATTATTTAAATACAATATGGGGGGGAGAGGGGAATGGTTTTGCACATTTCATCATTAATATAATATTATATAATAATATAATATTAATATCTGCACTATGAGGAGATAGTCCCTCTTTTTAACTCACCTGCACATTAATTTTCTGTGTTCTTTTTTTGTTGTTCCTTTTCCATACAATCCATTATGTATAATTGCACTAAATATTATTTGAATAATGCAAGATTAAAAATCCCAGCAGTCTTTAAAATGACATTCAGGAGCAAAAGGTTTCCAATAGTTGTTTTTAATTCATTAAAAAACAAAAATCATTGGAATATAATATTGGAATGAAATATAACTAATAACATTGGACTATAACATTTAATAACAATAACTTCACTAATTAACTCAGTGTAACATTGATGTAGCAACTATCTTATGCTCTGCTATTGCATGATTCTAATTTGTACATAGGTCACAAATAAATAAACTCATGAGTCCACCTCCTGCACTGCTCACACCTAATCCAGTCCCCACCTGTGACTGAAAACAGGGGGAGAAATGCCAATTGAAAAGGTCTCTCTTAAAAATTGCCCCAACACACTAATCCAACATATTACTAGTTTACTCAAAAATGATCTAACATTTTCTCTCTAAACAAATGATTTATTTATCTGAAGGCTTTTCTACAATATATTTAAAAAAACAATTATAGATCTAACTTCATTGGAATATATCTACAACTTTTTCAAAATTTCTAAAAAATTCGATCAATTTACCGCGAAATTATTTTGTTAAAATATCTCAAAAGGTTGTGATGACACAGATTATATTTTTTGTTGAGCAAGAGCAGTGGCAGCCAGGGAAAGTGTTGGGGAAATAATTTGGTGACATCTTGGGGTCTTAAGGTCAATTACGGGGTGGGGTAGTTAACCCAGGGGGCTAGTTACCCCCTAGTACCCTACCAGTCATGGCATGTGCTGCAGGCTGCTGGTAAGCTTCCTTGACTTGGACATACATTTTTGCGGACACATGGCTAACCTTTGTTTAACCAGCTAAACAATAGTTTTTTTTAAACGATCCATCTACCAAATATTTTCAATTAAAAATTATTCTTGCCAAGATTTTTTATATTTTTTTGCTAACATATGATGGGGTTCCCTGGGTTACTGGTTTGCCTGGGCGGGGTTCCCTGGGCAAGAAAAAGTAGAACACCCCTGTTATAGATACATCACACTTGTTATGCACATTGTCGTCCAGTTTGGTGCTGGAAGATAGGCTATGCGTTACCCTCCGCTGAGATTATTTGAGGGAGGCTATGTTTCCTGTCTTTTTGCTTTTAGGAATAGACAGGCTGTAAAAAACTGTAGGCTATAGGATTTGTGAGATAAAGACCTAAAATAGGTATAGGCCTATTGGTTCTGTTCGTTGGCTCTTATTTTCTGACGAATAGGCTATGTAAAACGTTATCAGGGAACTTTTACTGTAACTGATAAAACTTACAATCACTCAAAAATATTATTGAATAATACCCTATCTGTCTGATATTGAATCACTTAATAATAAAGTTGTTTGTGTTGTTTGGAACATGATACTGTTTAGTTTACAGCAAACTGCTTGAATTAATGTCCTCTTGATTTAGGTCTACACTGGCACTGCTGCCTTATGGGTTGTGTAAGTGAGTTACTATCATGTATGGATGTGTTGTTATGATGAGAACAGTGGAGGCTCCTCAGAGGAGGAAGGGGAGGACCATCCTCCTCAGTGAATTTCATAAAAACAAAAATAGTAAAACATTAAAAAAGTTATCATTTGTAGATAAAACTATACTAAATATATTTAAGTCACCAAATAATTGATTAAAACACACTGTTTTGCAATGAAGGTCTACAGTAGCCTCAACTGCACTCTGTAGGGTAGCACCATGGTGTAGCCGGAGGACAGCTAGCTTCCATGCTCCTCTGGGTACATTGACTTCAATACAAAATTATGACAACTTCCACCCAGTCAAAGGATCAGAGAATGATCTAGCACTGAAAGCATATCTACAGCTTGCTAGTACTGCAGTGCATAAAATGTGGTGAGTAGTTGACTCAAGAAGAGAGAAAGACAATAGTTTAAAGGTTTTGAACAAATTAATTTATTCAAAATTTAAGGAGAAGCAAGAGAGAGAGATTTCGTCCTTAAAAAAAAAAACGAACTTTGCAGCTAGCTAGCTAGTTTAGCCTACCCAAACACCCGTCTCAAACAGAGGGTTGCTATGTTAGCTTGCTGCCTATGACTATCCAACACAAACACTGGAACCCTTCCAAGTAAAGCTAAGCTTTTGGTTTTACTAATTTATTGCCACCGGTGTAACTGCTAAACTGCTTACTGAACTGCTTACTGACTGTACACTAACGTTACTGCATGATTGTAGTGGGTTTACTAACGCGTTATGTTGACTATGACGTTACTTTAGCTAATATGGTGACAATGATGTAGGCTGTGTGTAGCGGTTATGATATGGTTTGGCTTGGAAAGGTTTTTTCGCCTGGTCACATACAGCTGATGTGTTGTGCATTGAAGTCCACAAGCGAAAGGGATAAGGTAAGAGGAGAGTGCATAGATGCGAGAAGGAATACAACATAGCTTCTATGAAAGTGAACTGTGTTAACGTGATCAGAGGTGTATTCATTCCGCCAATTCTGTTGAAACACTTTTCTTAAACAGAAGCAAATAACTTTATTATTATCTTTTAAAATTGATGTCAACAATACTAGACAAAATATGTACAACAAGCAACCGTCTGTTAGATCCTAAAATACAAATCCAAGTACCTCATCCTATATAAAACTAAAATGTTGCCTTAACGTTACATTCACTCTCCTCTCTTTGTTTCAGACTCAATAATTATTACAAATACAGTTAGACATCCGCCCTAATTGTTGTCTGCTATAAACAAGTAAAGGCAACAGCATAAACTAAGATCAGGACAGAAATTGACCAGACCAGAAATTAATAATGAGCATGATGCAAATCAGGTCTAGCACAATGCTAGGTCCACTGTAGCTCAGTTGGTAGAGCATGGCGCTTGCAACGCCAGGGTTGTGGGTTCGTTTCCCACGGGGGGCCAGTATGAAAATGTATGCACTCACTAACTGTAAGTCGCTCTGGATAAGAGCGTCTGCTAAATGACTAAAATGTAAAATGTACACATTCTCTTGGCATACAGCAAAATGGCCATCTAAAATGCACTCCCTCAAGTCACAATGAAAATACACTCTGTAGGTCATGTATCAAAAATAGATATGTACAAGTAGTATAAACAAAATAATTACAAGACATTACCTCACGAACTACTTGCACGAATGGTAGCGAGTTACAAACTCAAAACAAAAAAAGAACTTCTGTATTTACATCATGAGTGACGCATATCAGGTCTGGTGACACCATCCTGACTTGTTTAAAGAATAAAAATACATGTAGCTGCAAGGTACACTTGGTGGGTGAAGAGGGAGCAATGGATTTTGTGACAACCCAGGTCAACATAAACCAGAGACGTATTTTGTAGCGTTCTAGTCTAAAGGACGGTTTGTTTCAGTTTCAGTTTCATCCTCCAGTCACAGGTCTACAACACGTAGAAACTCAAGCAGCATCTACAGGGGTTTTGTTTAAATTCTTACATTCATTACAGACCGATGTGTGCAAAGGGCAGGTCCGAATGGCTGGGGGCTGTGCTGTCTGCGCATCATATACTGGGTTTAACGCTGAGATTAAACACAAGTGCAGAGAAACCATCCCCACAGTAAGTCCCACTCTCAAACACTTTTGTCATGTCCTTGTGTAGACCTCTTTACAGTTTCTCAGAACTTTGCAACAGGTCATATTTGAGCCTCCATAGGGACTGAGCTTCAGTGCTGACTATTTCCAAGGCTCCTCTCAGTGTATGGGTGCTGGCTTGGAGGGCGGTGGCCACTGAGTTTGTGTGTGACAGTTGCTGTTTGCTCTCAAAGGGAGAATGCGGGCTGAGGGGTGAAACAGCTGCTGCTGGTGCTCTCGTCTTTGTCTTCCCTTCCCTGGATGCCTTCCAGCAGGCAATTTATTCAACACCAAATATTCATAGAGCAGGGTGCAAACACAAAAGTTTATCAGTCTTTGGATTCCAAGTTCATGGGGGGGACTTGCTTTAAAGCTTGGAAGAGAGCTGGTGAATCCATAGGTGTCTGGTGGTGTGCCGGGGATCCTGGCCTGGGAGACATTACCAGGTTTTGGGGTAGTTTCTCTGGAGACAAGCTGGCTGCAGAGCCACTCATGCCTGGGTACAAAAGGGGCATGCCCCCTTGGTACCAGCACTTCTCCAGCATGGGCCATGCTGCAGCCATTTGGGGAATGAGGTAGAAGGGCATGCAGAGTGGGGTCTGGTGTTGGGAGAAGCTCATATAGCTGCCGTGGCTGCTGACCACCTGTCCAGAGGAAGACTCGTCCTCTGAGGAGTCAGCTCTTAACCTCTTGGCCTGGGGCTCGTCACCCTCCTGCTTGATGCCACCTCCTGCCATCCTCTCAGCCCCAGCATACTTGAGCTCCCCCTCCTTGCCGTAGCAGCTTGTGCGTTGGCCTTTGGGGTCCCGTTTCTCGTGTTCCCCTCCATAGCCGCTGTCAGTGTCTGTGTCACTGCCACTCTGCTCCCCATGTCCGTGGGGGTATGTCCTTTGAATGACAGATACAAAGTTCTTGGCATGACCCTCGTTGCCCTTAGGCGGATGACCAGCAGGCTTCTCCATGCTTTCGACAGGTTTGTGTGTAGACTCTTCTGGCCGGGGTCTGGGTGGACCCTGGAGCACCTCTGATGCTACTTTGTGGAGGTGGCTGATCATGTGGGAGGGGCTCAAGTGGTCTCTGCTGCTCTCCTGGTTAGCCAGGTACTGAAGGACCTCCTTAGCACAGGCGTGGAAGCCAGAGCGGAAGATCTCCTCACTGTTCTCTGAGCTAATACTGCTCTGATCACCTGTGAAAAACAAAGTCATATCAGATATATTCAATAATAATACAGTTTTGGCAATGAAACCAACCGTCTCAATGGTATGGTCTGTCAATAATAAATAATACTATTGATCGGGGAGAATAGGGTGTAGTCCATAATAAACTGAAACATTGTATCAAACTTACTGATTTGAATGCCATTCTGCAATGCAATGATCTTCTGCTGCTGCTGTTCCAGGAGAGTGCTTAGGGCTTTCACATGCTTCAGAGTGAGTTCCAACACCACAGCTTTCTCCAAATGGCCCAAAGTCTAAAACAGGAAGACCTTCCATAAGCATGTTGATCTTTCTTATGTAACACTTTCAGCAGCTGAATAAAGGACAAACCACAACAGGGGGGAAGGCAGGGAATCCGCACACACCAACATTCCAACACAATGCAATAAATATAACTTAAAGGCATAGTTGATGAATGTACTATTTATGTAATATGTATTGTTTTTAAAGAGTTTGGGGCAATATGTGTAGGCAGTTAAATCAATTAATTATAATTAGCCAAACTTTTCAGTATGATAATATGAACAATTATTGATATAATAATAATAATAAAACAAATTTACAAACGGCAACAGTAAACATGTCTACCCCACAAATGATGCAGATTTCAGTTCATTACTATAGCTCCCGCCTTGAGCCAATCAATCAGTGTAATTTTGTAAATGCCGGATCTCTATGTCAAAACGCATAATTCACACAAGTTTTGTCAACATCGGCCCAGTGCTGTCTGAGACATCGCGTCTGACTAACATATGAACGAACGAACCGACAGACGGAGACAGATCCACAGTCCCATCCCCGATTTCATCGTGGGGGACAATTATGAAAAAAAATCGAATAATACGTTTCCTTTGTCATAACAGGCAAAATGTTTGAATTAAATGTCAGACTAATCAAGGCATTGATTCGGCCAAACAAATCAAACATGAACCAGGTGGCGCTAGACCTTTTGCATTGCTATTACACAGTCAGTACACATGAAATTCGTACTCACTGCAAGTTTGAGATGTTCTGGCAATAAATCCTTCAGTTGGGCAATGCATTCATTGATTCTGTCACGTCTTTTCTTCTCAATCAATCGGTGGGGTAACTTGTATGTCTCCTATGGGAAAACATGCATACATTTGTTAGTCTATGTGTAACATATATTCAAAATGGAATAATAATTAATGAATTACCAACGATGAACATGTTGTTTTAAACTAAATGAACAAAATGTTTAAAGTAAAGAACTGTAGCATACCTTACTGTCTTCCCCGCGCTTCAACCCCCTTCGGGGTTTGTACACGTACATTGGGAAATCCATTCTATAGGGCAATGGGAAGAACATATTGATAAGAAGTCATGTTTAAAGTTATTTATTTATTTACACAACAATACCAGGTTGTTTTACAATGTTATAATGCATACATTACCAGCTGTTTCTGGGGACTTACTCTTGCATGTCTGCCATCTCCAGCAACTGGTGTTTTGCCATACAAGGAGGAGGTTGTGCACTTGTAATCCTCTCCATTTTGCGTCTTTATTAAATCCAAATATTGGTCTTCAAACAATTCAACCTTAAAAATAGGCTTCTTCAGTTGTGTTTCAATAGTCAGCAAATATTGTAATTTAAGAAATAAATATTTTTCTTCTTCTTCTTGCTATTATTGTTATGTTCTTCTTTTCAATAGTTAACACTTTTTCTATAAATAATAATCTTTCAACAGGCTATTGCTTTGCAGACTGTCAATGTGATGTTGTCACTCTGAGATCCAAGCACAGCAATAGTTCCGAAGCTCTACTCCCGGGTAAATGTGTGATAGAGGAGGGTTTGGTCTACGTGTTAAATAAACCCTGTGACAAGACCGTCTCTCGGTTGGAGAGCTGAGCTACCTCCGTCACATGAGCCTCACGTGTTGGACGGCGCTTCCAACCGATCCCCTTTCTGTACGATCTGCACGAGAATGGCCCTCCCTCTTATTCTAGCGGGCGGGGTTTATGCATCATTGGCTGTGTCACGTGTACCACCATGCTACAGCTACGCCACGAGACTATAAAAAAACTCTAGGCGGAACGTGCAGGTCGACTATGTTTACTAGATAGAGAGTAGGGCAGAATTCCTTCCATACACATTCAAGCCCGATCGGTTTGTTCATTATGAAGGCTACTGGCATGTTGTACATTCTGCCAACTGTACTTTCATGTACAACTTCCATATGCAGAATAATGACATAGGCCTATACACTGAGTGTACAAAACATTAGGAACCAGGTTGCTCTTTCCATTACATATACTGACCAGGTGAATCCAGGTTAAAGCTTTGCTCTCTTATTGATGTCACGTGTTAAATCCATTTCAGTCAGTGTAGATGAAATGGAGGAGACAGGTTAAATAAGAATTTTTAAGCCTTGAGAAAATTGACACATTGATTGTGTATGTGTGCCATTCAGAGGGTGAATGGGCAAGACAAAAGCATTGGAGTCAACATGGGCCAGCATCCCTGTGGAACGCTTTCGACACCTTGTAGAGTCCATGCCCCGACTAATTGAGGGCAAAGGGGGTGCAACTCTATATCAGGAAGGTTTATAACTTATTATAGGACAGTGGGAAATAGGAAAGTGCATAGCCACAGTATGAAAATGTATGCACTCACTAACTGTAAGTCGCTCTGGATAAGAGTGTCTGCTAAATGACTAAAATGTAAAATGTAAGTAGGGGTGCTGAGCCACCCCCTGATACATAAAAATAACAAATAAATAACAAATAAATAAATATAAATATGTGAACTAGGCCTTTATTGTACCTGTATGAGTGAACAAAAATACTCCTCTATTTTTTAAATCTTATTTTAAAAAATGTAAAGAAAGTAGGTCAGCCCTTCTAATTCTTCTTAATTGTATTACAATTGAGAAAATATCCACAGAAAGTAATTTGCAGGGAAGAACACAAGTTTACATTCTGGTGTAGCCTCATATCCAACTTCAAATCAAATTGTATTTGTCACATACACGTGTTTAGCAGATGTTTTAGCGGGTGTAGCGAAATGCTTGTGCTTCTAGCTCCAACAGTGCAGTAATATCTAACAAGTAATATCTAACAATTTCACAACATATACCCAATACACACAAAACTAGTAAGGAATGGGATTTAAGAACTCACTTGTGTGAGTGTGAAGGTTAAACTTAAAAACTTATGTGAATCTTTTATTAACTTCATGTGAAATTAGTATTTTTTTTGTTTACGCTGTATTATGTTTAGTAGGTTTTCAATTGTAGGTTTAGATAAAGCCTATATAGGCCTATATGTCCATGACAAAAATCCCCAATAAACCATTCCACCCAACCTAATAGTACAGTCAATATTGTATTCTATTATATAATAATAATACAAATGTAATGCCACATGGGAATAATTATTTGGTGGCACATTTCCTGTTTTATTTTCTCCACGATGTTCTGTATTCTTGCATGTGCCAATAGGCTCAGAAAGGACATGGTGTCCACACACTACCCATTTGCGTGTACACCTGCGGAGGGATGAGTCTTGATGCCTCAGATCGGTTTGTTGTTGCCGGCTGCACCAAGGTGTCACGTTGAGCTCCTCATGGCTGCGCGAACCGAGACCAGAGGTGAGTTCAGTTCGCTTGAAAGTTTTGTACGTTGCGGAACAGTTTGTGCTGAACGTCACATTTCCCAAAAAGTTATTGTGCAGAATGAGGTACGTTTTCTCCAGTTTGGTGGGTGTGGCGAGGTGTGGGGAGATGTGGCTTGAAGCAAAGAGTGACGTATTTAAAGAGCAGTGGCCATTCTGACAGCGTTTCCCAACCCACAACCTCCCAGTTTTTCAACTGGTCATTCAGTACAGCATCGTTTCCGTTCAATTGAATGTTCCAGAATGTAAAAACTTACTGAACGAAGCCCTGATCCCTGCCGTCATACACGATAGATAGCAAAAATAGGTTTTTAGAAATGTTTGCAAATGTATTACAAATAAAAACCGGGAATATCATATTTACATAAGTATTCAGACCCTTTACTCAGTACTTTGTTGAAGCACCTTTGGCAGCGATTACAGCCTCGAGTCTTCTTGGGTATGACACTACAAGCTTGGCACACCTGTATTTGGGGAGTTTCTCCCATTCTTCTCTGCAGATCCTCTCAAGCTCTGTCAGGTTGGATGGGGAGCGTCGCTGCACAGCTATTTTCAGGTCTCTTCAGAGATGTTTGATCGCGTTCAAGTCCGGGCTCTGGCTGGGCCACTCAAGGACATTCAGAGACTTGTCCCGAAGCCACTCCTGCGTTGTCTTGGCTGTGTGCTTAGGGTAGTTGTCTGTTGGAAAGTGAACCTTCGCCCCAGTCTGATGTCCTGAGCACTCTGGAGCAGGTTTTCATCAAGGATCTCTCAGTACTTTGCTCCGTTCATCTTTCCCTCGATACTGACAAGTCTCCCAGTCCCTGCCGCTGAAAAACATCCCCACAGCATGATGCTGCCACCACCATGCTTCACCGTAGGGATGGTGCCAGGTTTCCTCCAGACGTGACGCTTGGCATTCAGGCCAAAGAGTTCAATCTTGGTTTCATCAGACAAGAGAATCTTGCTTCTCATGGTCTGAGAGTCTTTTATGTGCCTTTTGGCAAACTCCAAGCAGGCTGTCATGTGCCTTTTACTGAGGAGTGGCTTCCATCTGGCCACTCTACCATAAAGGCCTGATTGGCGGAGTGCTACAGAGATTATTTTCCTTCTGGAAGGTTCTCCCATCTCGACAGAGGAACTCTGGAGCTCTGTCAGAGTGACTAAGGCCCTTCTCCCCCAATTGCTCAGTTTGGCCTGGCGGCCAGCTCTAGGAAGAGTCTTGGTGGTTCCAAACTTCTTCCATTTAAGAATGATGGAGGCCACTGTGTTCTTGAGGACCTTCAATGCTGCAAAATGTTTTGGTACTGTTCCCCAGATCTGTGCCTCGACACAATCCTGTCTCGGAGCTCTACGGACAATTCCTTCGACCTCATGGCTTGGTTTTTGCTCTGATATGCACTGTCAACTGTGGGACCTTATATAGACAGGTGTGTGCCTTTCCAAATCATGTCCAATCAATTGAATTTACCACAGGTGGAGTCCAATCAAGTTGTAGAAACATCTCAAGGATGATCAATGGAATTTAATAATATAAAATATAATAATATACCATTGCACATTTTTAATGGGCTATTAGACTCCAAATTACAGACCTGGTTTGCTCCATATTTCTCGATGTCGGATCTTCTAAACCAGGATACAGTGCATTCGGAAAGGATTCAGACCACTGACTTTTTCCACATTTTGTTACGTTACAGTCTTATTCTAAAATGGATTCAAATATTTTTTTTCCTCATCCATCTACACACAACACCCCATAATGACAAAGCAAAAACAGTTTTTTAGCAATTTTTGCAAATGTATAAAAAAACAAAAACAGATATACCTTATTTACATAAGTATTCAGACCCTTTGCATTGAGACTCGAAATTGAGCTCAGGTGCATCCTGTTTCCATTGATCATCCTTGAGATGTTTCTACAACTTGATTGTTAAATTTAATTGATGATTGGACATGATTTGGAAAGGCACTCACCTGCCTATAGAAGGTTCCACAGTTGACAGTGCATGTCAGAGCAAAAACCAAGCCATGAGGTCAAAGGAATTGTCCGTAGAGCTCAGAGACAGGATTGTGTCGAGGCACAGATCTGGGGAAGGGTACTAAAAAAATTCTGCATCATTGAAGGTCCCCAAAACTTCCTAGAGCTGGCCGCCCTACCAAACTGAGCAATCGGGGGAGAAGGGCCTTGGTCAGGGAGGTGACCAAGAACCCAATGGTCACTCTGACAGAGCTCCAGAGTCCAGAGTTCCTCTGTGAAGATGGGAGAACCTTCCAGAAGGACAACCATCTCTGTAAAAGGCACATGACAGCCCGCTTGGAGTTTGCCAAAAGGCACCTAAAGGACTCTCAGACTATGAGAAACAAGATTCTCTGTTCTGATGAAACCAAGATTGAATTCTTTGGCCTGAATGCCAAGTGTCACGTCCGGAGGAAACCAGGCACAGCTCATCACCTGGCCAATACCATCCCTACGGTGAAGCATGGTGGTGGCAGCAGCATGCAGTGGGGATGTTTTTCAGCGGCAGGGACTGAGAGACTTGTCAGGATTGAGGGAAAGATGAACGGAGCAAAGTACAGAGAGATCCTTGATGAAAACCTGCTCCAGAGCGCTCAGGACCTCAGACTGGGGCGAAGGTTCACCTTCCAACAGGACAACGACCCTAAGCACACAGCCAAGACAACACATGAGTGGCTTCGGGACAAGTCTCTGAATGTCCTTGAGTGGCCCAGCCAGAGCATGGACTTTAACCCGATCGAACATCGCTGGAGAGACCTGAAAATAGCTGTGCAGCAACGCTCCCCATCCAACCTGACAGAGCTCGAGAGAATCTGCAGAGAAGAATGGGAGAAACTCCCCAAATACAGGTGTGCCAAGCTTGTAGCATCATACCCAAGAAGACTCGGGCTGTAATTGATACCAAAAGGTGCTTCATCAAAGCACTGAGTAAAGGGTCTGAATACTTATGTAAATGTGATATTTCTGTTTTTTATTTGTAATACATTTGCAAAAATGTATAAAAACCTGTTTTTGCTTTGTCATTATGGGGTATTTTGTGTAGATTGATGAGGGGGGAAAAAACAACTTAATCCATATTAGAATAAGGCTGTAACGTAACAAAATGTGGAAAAGGTCAAGGGGTCTGAATACTTTCCGAATGCACTGTAAATAAATATATATCCTACATATTTAGTCACAAGTTCAATAACCCCTAGGTATGTGGGGAATCCTGCAGGAAAGTCCCCTAATTAAGCTTGAAGCACCATTTTAATTCAAGCCAATTACACTCTCCTTTTGTGACTGAGGTTGGCTTTTCTGTAAACAAGCTTATGTTTTCGAGTCTACAGACACGCACTAGTCCATTTATCATTCATTTAACATGCTATTTCTCTCTGAATGGCTAAATTTTCACTTTCTCTTTTGATTTGTGCTTGTCTGTGCACCAGAGTGCCCACATACAGATGCAGTCAAAGTACTTGGCACCCTGGCACAATTCACAATTGATATATCTTTTTAAATTAAGAAATAAAAAAGGTGAAAAGATTGTGTTCACACGTGTATTTGTTTGATTTACAGCCGCACAGGACCAAGAAGAAGAAAAAAAATCTAAACTGAAATTAAGACTCTTCACAAAAATGGACTGGACTACATTATTCACAATTCTAATTCATTTGGTTAGAGGCAAGTGATTCTCGTTTACTAATTTATCTCACCTGTAGTAAATTGCAGGTGCCTACAGGGTTAAAAGTAGCCATACAACCAGTTTTTGAAAAAACCGAACATTCCGCTCCATTGACCTCCCTTGAAAAAGTGCAAGGGTGCCAGTATTTGACTGGAACTGTATACTGTGTATAAATTCCTCAATATTTGTGACAATACTTACAAAGAGTTGAATACAAATTAAGTAATATTTTCTATAACAGAAACAGACACTGTAGAAGTAGGTGAAAAAACTGCGGGGAAATTATGTTACCTCTCTGACCTTTGCAGCTGGATTTTGCAATGGACTACAAAACTGGACTACAGCTTTCCTTCAACATTTGATCCAAAGTAACTGATTATCAAGCTAAAGTCAATACCTCTTCAAAACACTGACGAGCTGTGCATATATGGACACATATTTATAAATTCAATAATGACATCCATAATATTCATCTTAACTATTATAAATTAATTTTAATTGTGAAAAGATTGAAGGCCGTTGGGCTCTCTGCTAACTACAAAGCTGACTTGCTCGTTTTCTCGAACATTTCAAAGTAGTCCACCCACAGATAAAAACAACTAACCATGCAAATAAACCCATTACACTGTAACTTGAGGTTAAACGGAGTACACTTCCTATACAGAATTGAGTCACTGTAAAATGTAGAAAAAGGCCTATTGGCCTCATGAATAAAAAGCAGATGTAGGCAGCATCTGTGATTTGTCTCAACCACAACTATTCCTATATGGTAGCCCAGTAGCCTATTGTGTAGTGACAAGATTCAATGGTGGATGTAAAGGAGAATTACATATATTGTATTAAATCATTCTACATTATTTTACAATTCTGACAGTACTTAACTATTTTCAATTAGTCCTTTGAACATTCATTTTCAGTAACACTGCTTTTAAATTCCCTATTACCTTTCTGAAAACGTAGGTCCCTATACAACAACAATGGCTTAAGCGACAATGTAAAAAAAACAAAAACAAGAAATGATTTGAACAAAGTATTAAACAGCAGAATTGAGAACTCAACAGCTGTGCTGAACGATAAAACAAAGAAAAACACAGTGACTTTGTCACAAGTAGTAAATCAGTAGCCAAATATACGTCTTAAAGGGACAAATGGCACACATGATAGGTGTATAATTAAAAGATGACAAACCTGGACGATAATAATATTTAGTGCAATACAATGTGGAAAGATGAACAAATCATGACAGCATGGTCATATTTTAACATATTACATTTGTTTGGATGAAGAATCCTAAACATCCCACTATCCCAGTTATATAAGAGAGCAAATATCATAAAACAAGAAGATAGGTCACAATCTTATTTGCAGAAAGGAAACTGAAAACAAGACCTTGCTCTCAGATAATATACTATCTCTATTAAGCGCATTAAATACTTTTTATGCAACATACTGAAAGTATTAAAACAAGTACAATCAGAAAGGCCAGAACAATACATGTAACTTCATCTGTCCAACCAACTGCTATTCTACATGGAATAATTTCCATATGTGAAGTCTAACAACAGGTCCCGATTTAATTTGAAGCAAAATAATAAAAAATAAAGCTCCCATTTGAAAAAAAAATCTGTCCCTATTAAATAAGGAATGACTTAAAGAACAACTTAAATTCATATTGCATATTTAAGTAGTGATATTGCACAAGTTACAAAAATAAGACATTAAATACTACTTGCTATACCAGTAGTAAATACAAAAATATGTTTCTTTCCATGTCTCTCAGTGCCATCTTCACGTTGGACTACATCTCCCTGTGTCCGGTACAGCGCTGCTGTATTTCAAGTTCACCCAGTACAGGCCATGTAATGAGAATTAACTTGAGTTTCTACATAGAAAACATTTGGCACCAATCCCAACTGGCCTGGGAAAAGGATGGGGTGTCTGGGTGTGGTGAGTGTTCTGATTTGAGTTATACCTTTGTGGGCTAACCTACACATCACAATTATATGACTAGCTATGTCAGTGTGTTCCCTAGTATTACGCTTCACACTCACACTCAGTAGCTACAGTATATATGCGGGAGGGACCACTAAGTGAAGATTCTGCACTCTGTTCCCTATGCAAACACAAAGCAGGAGTAGAAGTGGGTCTTCCTGGGTCTTGTGGCTGGGTTGGGGGCTTCCGTGCCTCAGCTTCACGCAGGTTGCTGGGGGTTGGCGTGTTGAGGATGCTGAGGATGACCCAACAGTCCAATTCTCTGTTTCTGCTTCCTTTGCTCTGTCATCTAGAGGACAACACACGGGACAGGTGCTGGGTTATTTGCTCAACTCTAATTTTCTGTATCTGTACCTCTGCTGCTCTGTCACATCTACTGGTGAGGTAAAGGTTGTCTGTGTCTGACACTAACCTACAAATAAGCTGATGCTGAGTTTCTTGTTCAGATAAAGTAAAAACTCTCCGTGCCTGCAAATGCTGCACAGCAATGAACTGAGAGCTTTTGGTTTTAACAGGAGAGTTTCAGTGTTCCATCTGAAACGTATCCTTCTACCCTTTCAGAATGTAATCTAGTCTAACAACATGTAAACCACAGTAAGCAAACAACCAGCAGTGAAACTCCAGTAAAATACATTTTTACTTTCAAGTCAGGCTCATGAGTAATAATGAAATATGTTGGCTTTCATGACAATAGGGACAATCAGTTTTAAATCAATTGAAGTATTAAAACAAACAAAACGAGTTTCCTAAAAAAGTTTTCGCAATCTTAATATTGCAAACATACAATGGCAAAGGCAATAAAAATACCCTCACAAACGCTGTTGGTCATGAGATGAGCATTATAAAGGAATTCATTATTAGATGTTGGGAAGTGCTAGAAAGAGCAGCATTACATTTTGTGAGAGAGCTATGGGGGTGGCCACTGGCTAAACTCAGTTACAGTAGAATGTGACTCTTTATTTGTGCCACAGCAAACTAATTAAATCAATTTTCGTTGGAATTATGTAACAGATGAAGCTCTTGTTTGGGCCAGTTGTTTTTGAAACAATTTTCTTGTTTGTGCCACTTTTGAGTGCTATGGAGCATGCTTAAGACCCTTCCAGGCAAGGGAGGGGGGAGGAGGCACTGCCCTGACTTCTGGGAAAATAAGACTAAAACAGTCTAATCTAAAAGCACAGTTTAGTCTGAATTTGTCTGTCAACTAAACTCCAAAAGTTAATTTTCCTATTTTGGTCTATGTTTGTGTACGTGTGAAAGGACGTGCAAAACCAAGTAGACATCAACCAATTCAGATCCAAACATCTATTTATGGAGATATTTAGTAATGAATAATCAAGAGAAAATTGTGTTTGTGCCCGAATCCAAACCTTTTAGCCACAGAACAACCATTTCCTTCTGTCTGGGTCAGAGTCTAGATAACACCCACTTCCTCATAGACACTTCTAATTTTAAATACTATTTTGTTTACAAGAAACATTTTCTTGAACCGAACACAACTAATAAAGGTTTTATAATTAATGATAGTCATTGTCATTATAATAATTGTCATTATAATAATATGTTTGATATGTTAATAGGAAATAAAAGGTGTTAAGATCATCATTATCATTTTGCTAATTTACTGTAATCTGACCATGGGCATATCAAGTCTACCAGATTCATGTACATAAATATAATTACTGCATTTAAAGAAGCAGTGCTCTAGCTCTGACTAGGATGTCCACAATACAGTGTGAGCAAAGTCATTGTGGAACTAATCTTTGCTTAATGACGTAAATAAGATCAGGTTGAAGGCCACATGAGCTGCAGCATTGTGAACTATGAGTCATTGTCTTCTGCTTTCAGTAAGCTCTACACCTACAAGGCAAAGAGTTGCCATCAAACAGACCAAAAGCTACACAAAATATCGAAAAATATCGAAATAATGTAATATTTTCATAGCAATATCTATACAGACCATCATCTAGTCACAGGCAAAAGGGTCGACTCACCTGCTCCTTGAGCTCAGTCAGTTGTCCAGAGAGGTTGGAGATCAGCTTCATGGTAGACTCCAGTTTCTCCTGCAGGCTCCTGATTTCATTTTGCTCCCCGTCCGCATCGCTACAGACCAGGGACATGGCCCGCATCCGTGGAAACCAGTCAAGGTTGTGCTCCTGGTGAGCAGAGGGAGAAGAGATGTTATTCAAGCATGACTAGAACATTTGTTGAAGCGCAATACATTAGAATTCTGGTCTCTAATCATGATTATAAAATATAATGTATAGAAAACATTTGGTAACACTTTACTGTGTCCATACACTTTGAAAAAGTAAATATTGTAAAGCGTTAGCATATATATTTAATGTACTGTCCAACATTTATCAAATAACCTACAATTTAAACATCAATAAAACATCTTTACAATTGCTTGTTCAGGGGAAAAATTTATATTTTCATCACATTTTGTCATTCATTTAATGTATACTGAACAAAAATATAAAATGCAACATGCAACAATTTCAAATTTTTTATTGAGTTACAGTTCATATGAGGAAATCAGTCAATTGAAATAAATGCATTAGGCTCTGATCTATGGATTTCACATGACTGCGAATACAGATATGAATCTGTTGTTCACAGATACCTTTAAAAATGGGCCTCACAATAGGCCTCAGGATCTTGTCAAAGTATTTCTGTGCATTCAAATACCCATCGATAAAATGCAATTGTGTTCGTTGTCCGTAGCTTATGCCTGCCCATACCGTAACCCCACCGCCACCATGGGGCACTCTGTTCACAACGTTGACTCAGCAAACCGCTCGCCCACACGACGCTATATAGGCCGGTTGGACTTACTGCCAAATTCTCTAAAATGACATTGGATGCGGCTTATGGTAGAGAAATGAACATTCAATTCTCTGGCAACAGCTCTGGTGGACATTCCTGCAGTCAGCATGCCAATTGCACGCTCCCTCAAATCTGTGGCATTGTGTTGGACATTTTAGAGTGGCTTTTTACTGTCCCCAGCACAAGGGGCACCTGTGTAATGATCATGCTGTTTAATCAGCTTGTTGATATGCCACACCCGTCAGGTGGATGGATTATCTTGGCAAAGGAGAAATACTCACTAACAGGGATGTAAACAAATTTGTGCAAAAAAATGTACGAGAAATATGTTTTTTGTGCGTATGGAAAAATTGTGGGATCATTTCAGCTCATGAAACATGGGACCAATACTTTGCATGTTGCATTTATATTTTTGTTCAGTGTAATTACATTTCTGGTGAACACTTATTTCATAAAATTTCATCAATAACATGCTAATACCCTTTGATTTTCTTTGACAAAGCCTTACACATTAGTGTAAGTCAGAATGACATCAAATGTATTAGTTAGCTGAGGCTCCACTTGGCAAACAGATGCCTCTTTGATTTGTGTTTCTCTCAAATAAATCCCTCTTTGTTTGTCTGTGTGTGTGCACTTATCAAGCCTATAATAAAATGTAATAGAATTAATGTTGGGGACTTTCCATACCAGGGAGTTCAAACTCACCGAGACAACTTCCTTTAAAAAAATGATGGTCTAATTATACAATAACACAGTCATGTTGAATGTGTGAGGGCCGAATAGAGGAACATTTACTCAGACTTAACTAGCAATATAAGGCAGAGTTCCCCATTTCATTAATATGGTATATTGTTGCATGCAAACTTCCTCGTCGGTGGCAATGTTGAGTTTAACACAACACAGCCCTAAAGTGACACAATGAGAATGACTTGAATTTTCAAAATGTCACCAGTGATTAGTTTCATATCTAAATAGTTGAGGTAAGGAAACATCTCAAGTCATCTACAGTGATTTATGACTCTTTGCCTCTTTCCTCATATTTGTAAAAAGTTTCCATGCTCCTCCTCCTCCTACAGCCTACAGTACACATCAAAACACTACAGCTATCAATCAGTCAATACCTCTCAATTAATTTATTATGCTAATCTGCTCTACCAGAGTGGAATCACATGAATAAACTGACGGCTTCTAAAAATAGAAAAGAGAAAACGTTCTGTACAAGGTCTGCCCAGTGCACACAGTGCACAAACGTTTACGCGTGGAGAGTACAGTAAGTGTGACGGCCAGTCACTTCAGAGCCTTGAGACAGTGAAAGGGTTGCTGCGTTCATCCAGGCGAGCAGCAAAGGGCCACTCTGAGCACATTCTTTCAACCCTCTATCTCCTCCAGCACTGGGCCACTACATATCAATGTTATTGTGCACTGTCTGAACCTGCCCTCAAATAATCGGAGGCTGTGTGAATAGGTCTGTCTGGAGTTCCCTTCAACCAAAACACACGTGTAGACACACACCATTAAAAAACAGTCACCCATTTAGCTACATGTATGTGCACTCCCAGACCCTACAAAATAGCATTACAGTTAGCTTAACTACAGACCGAACAGTAGACTGTGTGCTTGAATAGGAGCGTGCTGGGGAGCACCTGCACTGTAGCCTGTGTCTGTTGTGAGCACAGCTGCATGGCTGCAAAAGTCCCTGGGTTTCAGTGGTGTAGTCTGAGATGCGGGGGCGAGAGTGGCGGCTGCATGGGCCACAGGCTGGTCCTAGGTCAGACAAACAGCAGGACAGGGGAATCACACAGAGACATGTACTCATTCTGAGAGGAGGAAAGGAGAGCTGTGTGCATGCTCAACGCCCCACCCCCCTCGCAGCACAATGCTGCTTTCCCGCATTTGATCATGTACATGCATACTCTGTATTGGACATCTACCTACTATAATAGACTAGAGATGCACCGACACAGTATACTAGATTCCTCTGCTAGTGTATTGCTGAATGTAGAAACAGACCCTTCAAGGGGGTCCAAGACTGTACAGCTCAGACATAATGACATTAGTAAAATCGTGTCAACATTGTTTGTCTGAAATCCATTTCTAATCAAAGTGCCCGGCTTATCTTGGATGAGAGAGGAGCAGAGATGTACAGTACAGCAAGATTGATAATCCTGCCCTTTGCCCTCTGTGTCAAGAGTCAGTTTGACAGCCCAACCCCCAGCCCCCCAAAACCCATTTTCCTTTCTCAGTGTTTACAAGTGAAAACACTTCCAGTAAGTCTCAGACCGCTGTCACCGCTGACATTAAATTCATCTTCACAGTAGCTCAATGGAAATGACGGAAATTCATTTTCCATTATTAAAACCACAAGGCCCATGACAGAGAAACAGGATGCTGTGTGGTTTTGACAGCAACAGAAACGTCACAGGCAAGCCACAGGCCACCTGACATACTGACAACCCACCACATCTACTACTCTTCCATACAAATTAAAGAAACAGATCACATTTCAAAATAAACCTAACAAACAAATAGAAACAATGTGCAAAACACAACGGGAAAGCTCCTTCTCACTGCCCTTCTTCTGAAATGCCTCTAAAGCATTCTCTTATCAATGCGATTCAAAGTTCAAATCACGATGTGGATGCATCTTGGAGCAGCGAGCATGGGCCGCAATAATAATGAGGGCAACAGATTCTGGCATACCCAAGTCAAGCACTATAAATGTAAGCCTTCAACCTGACACTTCAGCCAAAGCTTTCTGCAATTGACGTCAATCCCAGTCATTGTCAGACTTCTATCTACACCCCCTGATCTCTCAAATCCCCTCTATGCATATGAGGTGTCTTCACCACTATAGGCAGAATCATCATGAGACACTGTTATGCTTGTTAGGGTAACCAGGCAAGAAAGAAGGGGAAATGTATCAATAGAACTATTATACAATATTAAGCCTATTACACCAACATAGGGAGCCTTTTCCCCTACCATGTCAAATGAAGAAGAAAGATCTAATGTGTTGCGTTCATAGGACATAATAGGAGACTAACTAATAGGGATGTGACCGATTCCTCCACTTCTCAGATTATAAACTCAAAATTGTGTATTTTTTTATGAACCCATCCCCCTCTTCGGAGGACAACAATAACTTTTGTTTTTTACAGCTTTTTTGCTACACACATTTTACATATACGTTTGACTTACAGTGCATTCGGAAAGTATTCAGACCCCTTGACTTTTTCAACATTTTGTTATGTTACAGCCTTATTCTAAAATTGATTAAATTGTTAGTTTTTTCTCATCAATCTACACACAATACCGAATAATGACAAAGCAAAAACAGGTTTTTAGAATTTTTTGCAAATGTATTAATAATAAAAGTATAAGTATTCAGACCTTTTGTTATGAGACTCGAAATTTAGCTCAGGTGCATCCTGTTTCCATTGATAATCCTACAACTTGATTGGAGTCCACCTGTGGTCAATTCAATTGATTGGACATGATTTGTAAAGGAACACACCTGTCTATTTAAGGTCCCACAGTTGACAATTAATGTCAGAGCATAATCCAAGCCATGAGGTGGAAGGAATTGTCCGTAGAGCTCCAAGACAGGATTGTGTCGAGGTACAGATCTGGGGAAGGGTACCAAAACATGTCTGCAGCATTGAAGGTCCCCAAGAACACAGTGGCCTCCATCATTCTTAAATGGAAGAAGTTTGGAACCAGCAAGACTCTTCCTAGAGCTGGCAGCCCGGCCAGACTGAGCAATCGGGGGAGAAGGGCCCTGGTCATGGAGGTGACCAAGAACCCGATGGTCACTCTGACAGAGCTCCCGAGTTCCTCTGTGGAGATAGGAGAACCTTCCAGAATGACAACCATCTCTGCAGCACTCCACCAATCAGGCCTTTATGGTAGAGTGTCCAGACGGAAGCCACTTCTCAGTTAAAGACACATGACAGCCCGCTTGGAGTTTGCCAAAAGGCACCTAAAGGACTCTCAGACCATGAGAAACAAGATTCTCTGGTCTGATGAAACCAAGATTGAACTCTTTGGCCTGAATGCCAAGCGTCACGTCTGGAGGAAACCTGGCACCATCCCTATGGTGAAGCATGGCAGTGGCAGCATCATGCCCTTGGGATGTTTTTCAGCGGGAGGGACTGGGAGACTAGTCAGGATCGAGGGAAAATTGAAAGGAGCAAAGTACAAAGAGATCCTTGATAAAAACTAGCTCGAGAGCACCCAGGACCTCAGACTGGGGCGAAGGTTCACCTTCCAACAGGACAACGACCCTAAGCACACATCCAAGACAACGCAGGAGTGGCCCATCCAGACCTCAGACTTGAACCCGATCGAACATCTCTGGAGAGACCTGAAATAGCTTTGCAGCGATGCTCCACATCCAACCAGACAGAGCTTGAGAGGATCTGCAGAGAAGAATGGGAGAAACTCCCCAAATACAGGTGTGCCAAGCTTGTAGCGTTATACCCAAGAAGACTTGAGGCTGTAATTGCTGTCTCAGAGCTCTACGGACAATTCCTTCGACCTCTGCTTGGTTTTTGCTCTGACATGCACTGTCAAATGTGGGACCTTATGTAGACAGGTCTGTGCCTTTCCAAATCATGTCCAATCAATTGAATTTACCACAGGTGGACTCCAATGAAGTTGTAGAAATCAAGGATGATCAATGGAAACAGGATGCACCTGAGCTCAATTTCGAGTCTCATAGCAAAGTGTCTGAATACTTATGTAAATAAGGTATTTATGTTTTTCATTTTTTATTATACCTGTTTTTGCTTTGTCATTATGATATATTGTGTGTAGATTGATGAGGACATTTTTGTATTTAATTAATTTTAGAATAAGGCTGTAACGTAACAAAATGTGGAAAAAGATAAGGGTTCTGAATACTTCCTGAATGCACTGTACATGCATGGCACTTTTTTACACAGTGTTCACATAACAAAAATATGTATTTGATGTCTTTTTTTTATACATATATCTATATATATAAACACATATATCCACACATATACACACATACAAGCTCTTAACTTAGTTTTTGGTAAAAGTGTTGATCCATTGATAGCCCAGAGCCTGCATGCAGACGTGCATCAACTTCTTGATGCTGGAGGGCTAACATCTAAGCTGTGAGTTCTCTAAACTCAGCTTCTTGCAGTAAATTACCATGTCTGAGCTCTGCAGAGAGCCGTGCTTCAGACACCTAATTTAGCTCCCAATCCAGAGCAAGAGGCCCCACATGATCAAATGTGTTGCATGGGTCCAGTTGTGGTTGACTGGGTCAGCTGACGGGTCAGTGGATTCTAACACACCATGTGCCCTCTCTCTAGTAGAGGTCACCTTAAATCCTCCTGTGGGCCACAATGTGTCCCTGAAAAGCTCTGTTTGGCTCAGTAGGGTCTAAGGCTAAGAGGGGGTTAGTTGATCCCAAATCAGATGACTCCTCACAAGACCTCACAGCGCAAAAGTCTACAATGTATTGGTGCTTGTGGTTTTCTGTTTCCGAAGATGTTTTTAGATTTATTCTCACCATGGGACAGAGATATTTTACTGCATGAGAAAATATATCTCTTTATCTAGTATAGTGTAGGAGCTAACCTGCATTCTCAGCACACATTTGATCAAAGCTCAGATATGTGAGCCTCTCTGATGAAGTGATGCAGAACTGCCAACTCCCTGTTCAATATCTATTTATGACCACATCCCTGCCTATCTTGATGTGTATAATCAAGAATCTCCTTAGTAATAAGCTGGCTGGTACTTTAATATGCATAGTAGTCTAGTCGTACCCTGATCATCTCAGCAACGTAGCTCTCTGGTCCCGTGTACTCTGTGGAGTCCTTCACCTTCACCAGCACTATGAAGAACAGGTAGTGCCACATGTTGTGCTCCACCTTGATGTGCTCTTCAAATGTCACTGTCTTGTTGTCAAACTTGTCCCTTTCCAGGCCTGCACACGAGGGGACACACAAAAAACTAAATTGTCAAACATGCAGACACAAATGCATGGCAGTTACGGCATTCTTCATCTGTAAACAAACAATGCATGTGTGGCAATAATGAGTCAATCATTATGAATCTGGTGATTGTCATGACCTCAGTTGGAATGACTGACTGCACAACAATAGCACGGGGAAGCACTTCAGAAGGAGAATAGAATAGGACAAGGGTTTTAACGCTCAACAGGTTCTCAACGTCTCACATAAACTCGTTTTTTTACATGCCCCTTTATCCTACGGGGCCAACCATACATATAATGTTTGCACACATGACTGTAGGTCGCTTTCTACATAAAAGCGCCTGCAAATGGTGATTCCAAGCTCAGATTGCATCAGATGGTATCTCAGATTGTTCTGGCAATTCTCACATAGGATCTTCATCTGGAGGATGGATGTTTGAAATGCTTTTTACATTTGCATCACAAACCATTTTTGAGAAAATCATGATGAAAGTGTACATTTTAGGCCTCATGTAAGACTCTATGATCTGTGAACCATACATGATACAGACAAAATCTTGGTGTCAATATACAGTGGGGAAAAAAGTATTTAGTCAGCCACCAATTGTGCAAGTTCTCCCACTTAAAAAGATGAGAGAGGCCTGTAATTTTCATCATAGGTACACGTCAACTATGACAGACAAATTGAGAAAAAAAAATCCAGAAAATCACATTGTAGGATTTTTAATGAATATATTTGCAAATTATGGTGGAAAATAAGTATTTGGTCACCTACAAACAAGCAAGATTTCTGGCTCTCACAGACCTGTAACTTCTTATTTAAGAGGCTCCTCTGTCCTCCACTCGTTACCTGTATTAATGGCACCTGTTTGAACTTGTTATCAGTATAAAAGACACCTGTTCACAACCTCAAACAGTCACACTCCAAACTCCACTATGGCCAATACCAAAGAGCTGTCAAAGGACACCAGAAACACAATTGTAGACCTGCACCAGGCTGGGAAGACTGAATCTGCAATAGGTAAGCAGCTTGGTTTGAAGAAATCAACTGTGGGAGCAATTATTAGGAAATGGAAGACATACAAGACCACTAATAATCTCCCTCGATCTGGGGCTCCACGCAAGATCTCACCCCGTGGGGTCAAAATGATCACACGAACGGTGAGCAAAAATCCCAGAACCACACGGGCGGACCTAGTGAATGACCTGCAGAGAGCTGGAACCAAAGTAACAAAGCCTACCATCAGTAACACACTACGCCGCCAGGGACTCAAATCCTGCAGTGCCAGACGTGTCCCCCTGCTTAAGCCAGTACATGTCCAGGCCCGTCTGAAGTTTGCTAGAGTGCATTTGGATGATCCAGAAGAGGATTGGGAGAATGTCATATGGTCAGATGAAACCAAAATAGAACTTTTTGGTAAAAACTCAACTCGTCGTGTTTGGAGGACAAAGAATGCTGAGTTGCATCCAAAGAACACCATACCTACTGTGAAGCATGGGGGTGGAAACATCATGCTTTGGGGCTGTTTTTCTGCAAAGGGACCAGGACGACTGATCCGTGTAAAGGAAAGAATGAATGGGGCCATGTATCGTGAGATTTTGAGTGAAAACCTCCTTCCATCAGCAAGGGCATTGAAGATGAAACGTGGCTGGGTCTTTCAGCATGACAATGATCCCAAACACACCGCCCGGGCAATGAAAGGAGTGGCTTCGTAAGAAGCATCCTGGAGTGGCCTAGCCAGTCTCCAGATCTCAACCCCATAGAAAATCTTTGGAGGGAGTTGAAAGTCTGTGTTGCCCAGCGACAGCCCCAAAACATCACTGCTCTAGAGGAGATCTGCATGGAGGAATGGGCCAAAATACCAGCAACAGTGTGTGAAAACCTTGTGAAGACTTACCGAAAACGTTTGACCTGTGTCATTGCCAACAAAGGGTATATAACAAAGTATTGAGAAACGTTTGTTATTGACCAAATACTTATTTTCCACCATAATTTGCAAATAAATTCATTAAAAATCCTACAATGTGATTTTCTGGATTTTTTCCCCTCATTTTGTCTGTCATAGTTGACGTGTACCTATGATGAAAATTACAGGCCTCTCTCATCTTTTTAAGTGGGAGAACTTGCACAATTGGTGGCTGACTAAATACTTTTTTTCCCCACTGTACTCATTATAGTGTGCTCTAAAATATGGATTATGTATCAATTGAAAAAAAAAAATCACATTAATTTATTAAACATGAAAACATATTAATATCTCCAAACTACACTTTTTGATTTAGTAAATTTTAAGACACAGGGTTCTATTTTAACAAACCAATGGTCAAAAGCAATGGTCAATCTTAGGGCTGGCGGTAGCGCTATAGGTCTGGGGGTGTTTCAGAAATATTCTTGCCATTTTCACTGCGGGAATTATGAGTGCAATAGCTGGTGGTGGCACGAAAGGGCTGGGTTTTGATGAATAAATAAATTATAGGTGTGTCGAGGGCTTGGCCACTCACTGGCCAAATCAATCAATTCATGGCTTAAAGGGAAATATATAAAAAATTCAACTTCATATTCATCATCTCCAGCACCACCCCAACATCAACATATGTGCAAATGGTGCGTTTCTATGTTTTGTAATAAAAAAGATAAGAGGAAGATAAGTGTTTCCAATGACATTATTAACCAATTAGTAGGCAATTGGTAGGCAATGCCTACTCATAATTGGTTAAAATCACATGATGCACACCGATGATGTCATTGGAAATACTAATCTTCCTCTATCTTTTTTACTACAAAACATAGAAACGTGTGACCCGTTTCAGGAAGCTAGGCGTATGTCACAAGTCACTACTTCACAAGAGAGGCATTTGAATGTCTTTGCAGCAATGCCTTCTGGAACATCTGAACTTTCTTGTGCCTTACTAACAAACTTGTATTCCATCTGTAAATACGAATAAAATTATAAAATTACGAGCCTAGTTGGTTTAGCCACGGAAAAAGACAGGAACCTTCCTGCTAGCCATGATTGGCTGAGATAATGGATGTGCTGGACATGCCGGGAGATGACTTTGGATTGGTCTGCGATGTAGCATGCTTCTGTCTATAATGTGAGCTGTTCAGTATGTGTTGATAATCCTTTCTACCGCAGCTTTTTTGAAAGATATAACGTTAGCCATCGTGAACTACAAAAGTTTTGCTACTTTTCTCAACAACATTGATGCCCTGAATTTAGCAGGTACTAATGACAAATCAGTTGGAAAAAGTTGTGATGGGCTACTTTCTGGACACGACACAGTCAGTGTGAACCGGAGTGACTTGACACAACGCTGGACAAACAAGATATAGCTACAAACAAAATTAAGTTAAATGGTTCCATTCTGCTGTGAAACTTTCATCCATGTATACGGGTAAGAGTCCAGCTACATTTTCAGATATTATATGTTTCTAATTTTGTCAGAAGGTCGTTTTCATTGCAAGGTAAAGCGTACTGTTCGCTAGCTAGCGAACGTTAGCTTGCTGGATCGCTAGCTAACGTTCCGCTAATGTTACGTGTATGATCTGTGTAGTAATATTATTTGAATCAGAAATCTATTTGCATTGCTAATTATAGCCTAATGTTAGCTAGCTAACATTTAACCTAGTTGGTTAGCTTTAGCTACCTGCAGATTCATACTACAGCAGCTGTATGACAATCTGTTTGTATTGGTAGCAGTATGAGTTGGGATTATGCCGGTTCATTGTTTAGCTAGCTAGCTAGCTACATGTCTAAACAAAAAACTCCACTTCGCCAGATGATTACATGATCCATCAAGTTAGCCAGGAGTGTCTGGGGGTGATTAAGGCCATCTATTGTATTTAATGAACATGTGTACATGTCTAGACATTTCTTTCACATAATCCATCAATTTAGACAAGTGTGTCTGGGTAAGCGATATCTAATAATTATAAAAAATGTATAAAATATTTGTATCTTGACACTTTCTGTTTTTGATATTGCTACTATGCAAATATGTAAGTAACCATTTCACTGTATCATTTACACCTTCTGTATCCTGTACATGTGACAAATAAACATATATTTTATTTGATATAGTGTGTGTTTACCAGAGACAGTAATGTGATGAACAACATGACCTGCACCAAAGTCAGATTAGGATATAGGCCAAGTACCGTAATTTTCGGACTATAAGCCGCGCCTTTTTTCCAATTTTTCGACCCTGCGGCTTATATAACGGTGCGGCTAATCTATGGATTTTTACAGCTAACGGTCACTAGAAGACCTCCTAAATCTATGGATTTTACAGGTTACAGTCCACCAACTTTAACTCTATGGGCTCTATGACCGGTCCGCGCCCCCCACCTTTAAGCGGCGGGCTCCAGCAGGAAAAGCTGGAGGCCGGAAAAGAGTGAGACCGGTAGCGCGCAAAAGTGGAACCGAGAGTGGTACGAGAGACAGAACGAGAGACAGAACGAGAGCAAGACAGACAGACATTACGAGAGCGAGATAGTTTGTCTCTTTCCTGACAATCCCCTCTGTGCACGAACCCTTACATATGGTAATTAAACATTAAAACACCTGCGGCTTATAGTCCAGTGCGGCTTATATATGTACACATAATTCAATATCATTCAATTTAGCTGCTGCGGCTTATACTCCGGTGCGCCTTATAGTGCGGAAAATACGGTACTAGAAAAGTGTATTTTTACCTGGAGTTTCCTTATTGTAGGCTACTACTTTTACCACTTTTAGTCTTGAAATCGTTCGTTGTTTAGTACTATACTCACTCTGTTTAGCACATGGCCTCACATGTGAATCCTTAAAGAGATGGGTGGGGCTAAGGCTTAAGAGGGTGTGAAAGATGCTGAATGGGTGTAGACAAAGAAGAGCTCTCCTGTAGGCATACCAAAACATTCAAAGGCCATTTTCTCAAAAGTGGGGTTACAAGTTTATCAACTTTCGAAGCATAAATACTTTTCCAATGTTCCTCAACTGCAGAGTATGATATACCATTTTCTAGCTCTGAGTCTCTACTTTTATCCAATGTAAAAAAAATAACAGGACCGAATCCAGGTGGTGGGTTACATATGTTGATGTTGGGGTGGTGCTGGAGATGATGAATATGAAGTTTAACATTTTTGAAATATCCCTTTAATACTGTATTCCATTGTCTCAAGTTCTGTATGTTGTTGACAATATTTGCGTTGTCATCAACTCCAATTCGTCTTGGGGTACAGAATATTATCTTCCTAGTCCATTGTGGATTGATACAGTTTATAAACGAGCATAGGCTACAGTAACGAGTAATAGCAACAGTAAAACAAAATCATCCAGTGTTTGCTGAATATGTTTGGAGTGTTGACAGTCAACGTTGATGTAATTGGCTTCAACTAGTATAGTCCTTTACGCATCACACTTCTCAAATAAAAAATACTAGGCTCCCGTATGTGTGAGGCACTTTATCAATAAGCAAGATATAGCCTAGGCCTACCGTTGATATGGTGTTATAGGACTGAATCATTTGAATATGTTTGGAGAAGCGCATCTTTGGAAATAGGGATGATACAAGATGAATGGAGTCACCTATGCACTGCAGGTAGGCCTATGTGAATAGTGAACAATGCAAAAGCATGACGGCAAAAGCCTCACGAGTAGACCATTTAGAAACCTTTTATGGATGGGCTACTATGCTAATGCATGGCCAGGATAAGAAAGATACCAGATGCATTGCTGTTGAACCAGCTTTTGTTATAGTAGGGTAAGGGTAGCCTATAAGGGCTTCTTTTTTTAATCAAATTAAACAGAAAACAAGCAATTGTTACAGGGAAATAACAAATGTTTCTAAATATGAGTGTCACCGGATCATATCAACTCTCGTTTCATGATGGGCATATAACCTACTTGGAGGGTTTTTTATGCACATCCAAAATAACAACAGGAGCTGGCTAAAATAATGTACAATAGCCTACATAGATAAAAAGGGGATGCTCCCAGACTTGATATTTTAATCAAGCGTTGGTGATTAAGATGTATTTCAAAGCAGTCTCACAAGCCAAACCCTTTATTGATAGTCTTGACCACTTGGCGAATGCATTTGGCAGGACAAAAAAAAACTGCCTTCATTGAGAGGGGAAGCTATGCTTGGTTTTTAATTAAATGAAAGAAAATGGGAAAAAACATTAGTTTTTTATGTTTCTAAATACAAGGTTTACGACTCTTGTTCCATGTGTATATGGGCACTGTGCATCACGGCTGGATTGGCTGCGCTTCCGCTGTCAAAATCCATGCCATAACCAACCGTTTTACCTGCTAAGACTAGCTTTTGGTTGGTCTTAAATATCCTCACCAGTGCTTCCTGAAATTGGCACTTTGGCGCACATTTGTAAGGACACACCTCAGATATTTCCAACCCTCCCACCTCAGAACAAGCGAGCTCATTTAAGACTGGTAAATTACCAATCCTGGCACTAGGGAAATAGAAGAGTGCCAGCTTTAACAGGTCAGTTGCAAATTAGTGTGTGTTTGACCATTGCGCTGGCTTAATGGCAGCCGAAAATAGAGCCCATATTGTTTGGAACTATATAAATCTACAAGTACATCACGTTTCCAGAATGGGCTCTCTGCTAATTCTGAAGGTATGATCAATTTAGCGTTATATGTTGTATGTGTTGTAAATTAAAAATTAAATAAAAAAAAGTATGATCAATTATTTGAGCACCACCAACACAGTGAATGGGAAAATGGATTCAAAGGGAACTCCCTCTGCTGGTGACTTGCTGAATGTGCAATCCTAAAGGAGGTCTGTGATTGGTTAATGACATATCATGTCAATTTCTATGTATAAAATGAATCATATGATAAAAGTACCACTCTGGAAATTGTAGTTGTTTGAAGAGTATATTGTTACAAACAATATGTCTAAAAATAAGCTAAATAAAAAATTGTAGTTTTGAGATATTAATATTTTTAATGTTGAATAAATGAATGTGAAAATGTGTATTTCAGAATCTAGGCATATTCCATATTTGAGAGAACACTATAAGGAGTATAATGCACCAAGATGTTTTATGTCTGTATCATGTACGGTTCACAGATAATAGGGTCTTACAGGAGGCATGTATGTATAGGTCTAAAAAGGGCCTAAGATGGCCAATTTCATAATGATTTTCTCCCAAAAATGGTTTGTGATACAAATGTAAAAAGCATGTTAAACATCCTTCCTCCTAATGAAGTTCCTATTTGAGAATTGCCAGAACAATCTGAGATGACAAACATATTTTCTGCTCCCACTGGCTTGGAATCATCCTATAGTATTACTCTGATGTGCTTTTAATCCATCTTTATGTCATAACACCAACCAGTTACAATCATGCTTGCAATATCTAACATTGAATGGAAAATGTCTAAAATGGATAGGCTACAGTAACTAAGGCTACAGTTATAGCTTGTGTATGGTGATGTGATCCAGTACATTGCCATTGCATTGCACAGCACACCAACATGGTCAAGAACCTGCATTGGCAACAGGAGGAAGTTACTCCTCCACATCAGCCATGACTAACTATTCAGGTTCTGGGAAGAGGAGGCGTTGTGTTGTTTACACTGCTGAGCAAAACAGCCCCCATTCTTCCACCGGCCAGCTGTGAGGCATGCAACATTAACAGCCTCAGACAGACTTAAAGTGCAGGTTGAGACCACTCATCTGCAGTGTCTGTTCATCCTCCTCCAACGCTCACTGCACTGCAAGCCTAATGTGAAATAGCACTGCTTCTGACTCTACAGACCACAACCACTAGTCATTCCAACCCTAGCTCAAATGGTAGCTTAGCAGACAGTCTCATGCCGAGCGTCAGCCCACTGATCACTAGCTTTGGACACAGGCCAGAAGAACCGAGCCAGGTCCAGGTAGGGCCACTCACCGCAGATGAAGCATGTCGTCTTCAGGACTTCCTCTTTTTTTTGCTTTTCACTCCTGAGGTCGGCGAAGGTGTCGATGATGACTCCGAAGATGAGGTTGAGGACGATGATGATGACCAGGAAGAAGAAGAGCAGGTCGTAGATCACCCTGCCAGCAAACAGAGGCTCCTACCAAAGACACAGAAGATAGAAAACCATTTGATAACACACACCAAAACATTTCAACTAGTCAACTATCAAAGACGACTGCAGCTAAGAAACATGACTGCAGCAAAATTGTCCCCTGTTGATTAGCAATAGCAATAATTGAGATTGAGATTGTAGTGAAGCTAAAATGTTGTTTCTTCCCAAGTCTGGACCTGTGGGACATGTAAATTGTTTTGGTGTTGTTAGGGCTGTGACGATTATGGAATTTTGGGTAACGATTATTTGTCATGCAAATGGTCACAATTATTGTCATAATTGTCATTTTTGTTGAAAAATGTTTTGAGCTTGTAATGTATCTTTGAAAACAAGCTACGAATACAACACAGCTTTGGTGACACCCCTGTCTTAAACACCAATGGTTTTGACCGCTTGGAACCTTTGGAAATGAAGCTTCTCCTCCCGACCGTACCGTTCTGCTCGTAAAACAATTACCAACTTTACCCACTTCATGTAAAAACTGCTATTGGGGAAACTAGTATATCTACTTCAATATAAAGTTGAATCCACACTTCTCCTAAAATGAATGTAATAAGACGATTATTATTATTATTATTATTATTACTTCACGGTTATTGTCCATAATTGTCAGTTACACAATTATCCTATAATTGCCAGCCCTAGGTGTTGTGTTCAACATGGGCATTTGTGTACCTCTTTGGATGGCTTCCGCAGGACGTCCCCCACACCACCTCCACTCCTCAGGCCGTGACTCAAGACAGTGACAATACACATGAGCAGAGAGTCACATGACCGCTCCTTGTCCTCGATCACTACCGCCGACGGCTGGGTGGCTATGGCAGCTACAGAGGGACATCAGGGACATGTATTGCACATAGTGTATATCCACAACAAATTCACAAAACCTTTTTATCCACATCCTCTAATTCACATCCACATTTCTCATATACCAGACCTCATAGCAAATTCTGTCTTAATTAGGAAAATGTTGTGCAAACAAAACATTTCACTCAAAATAAACTTGTAAAACAACCCTCCCAATACCAGCCTCTTCCCAGCACAGGAACCACTGACAATACCAATGTGACCCTACCAAACTGTTCTCACAAAACAACAAGTCACCAGACTAGCATCATTAATTTGGGTGGTGGTGATGGTGGCGAAAGCCTACATGAGGTCTGAACCCAGATGCCCCAGAGCCTGACAAGGTTCATACAAGGTTGTCTGAGCACATTAAGGCAGCATGTAGGTCGTCTTTGATTTGGGAGCTTTTTCTAAAGAAGTCTTACAAGGTCCGTTAGAATGCCTGGATCCCAACTTGCTGCCCCCTGCACCCTCTCAGAGCAAACCCGTCGACCTGCCCTGTGCCTGATGGCAATTAACCCCTGACCTCTCCTCCCCTTCCCTTCCTCTGGAACCTGGTCCTCCAGCATCAGACACACACGGCAGGGCCTAAGTCCCTGTGTGCTTCCCCTAGCCCGGCCAGGCCCAGGCTAGCCCAGGCTAGGGATTGGCATTTTAAATGTGTTGAATGTTTAAGTGCTCGCATTATTAATTTTTCAGAGTACTCAAATTGAGAAAAATATACTATTTTTAGAACACACGGCCTGCACTGAAAAAAAAGATGTGTGCATTTATCTACATTTACATTTTAGTCGATGCTCTTATCCAGAGCAACTTACAGGAACAATTAGGGTTAAGTGCCTTGCTCAAGGGCACAGACAGATTTTTCACCTAGTAGGCTCGGGGATTCGAACCAGCAACCTTTTGGATACTGGCCCAGCACTCCTAACTGCTAGGCTACATGCCATTTATCTAAATTATATGCCAACTGTGCACAACAATGCCTAATTTATCATAACCATTACAGATAACAAATCCTAATTGCAAAAATGTCCCCATATGTGACTCGTTTCAGGAAACTAGGCATATGTCGCGCGTCACTGCTTCACAGGAGCGCCATTTGAACGTAAACCTTTTTTTTAAGCAAAATGCGTTTTTTGGCAGAAATGCCTTCTGGAACATGTGAACTTTCATGTGCCTTAATAACACATTTGTATGCCATCTGTAAATATGAATAAAATGGTTAAATTACGAGCATAGTTTGTTTAGCCATGGAAAAAGACAGCAACCTTCCCGCTAGCCATGATTGGTTGAGATAATGAGTGGGCTGGACATGTCGAGAGATGAGTTCAGATTGGTCTGCCATGTAGCACACTTCTGTCTATAATATGAGCTGGTCAGTATGTGTAGGTAATCCTTTCTAACTCTGCTTTTTTGAAAGATATCACGTAGTAGAACTGCATAAGTGTTGCTCTCCACTTTCTGGAGGACCGAGTTTTGAAATCAGTGGAATTAGAGTATGATAGCTAAGGAGATGGAGAAAATTCTGGCATTTGATTGCAAATATGCAGACGGAGGCGAAAAGAGAACACACAGAAGGCTGTTGTATAAAACACCTGTCTCTGGGTTACACCTTCAAACTAAGGGCAACCATGGCATCCGTGACAGAGAGGGAGAAGCGTCCATCCATGTATACGGGTAAGAGAGTCTAGCTAGCTACATTTTCAGATATTACACGTTTCTAATTTAGTCAGAAAGTCGTTTTCATTTCGAGTTAAAGTGTACTGTTAGCTAGCTAGCTAACGTTAGCTGGCTGGCTAGCTAGCTAACGTTACGTGTATGATCTGTGTAGTAATATTATTTGTATCTCAGAGCCATTTGCATTACTAGTTTTAGCCTAATGTTAGCTAGCTAACATTGAACCTGGTTGGTTAGCTACCTGCAGATTCATGCAGGGTAGTAACGTTATGAGTTGGGATTATGGCTCATTATTTAGCTAGCTAGCTACATGTCTAAACAAAATACTCCACTATGCAAGTAACTATTTCAATAGAATGTTTATGATGTCACTGTGACAACTGTCGATAGACGTAGCTGGTAAATTCGCTCTGGCTATCTACTCCAATTTCAGAGCACTCTCGTCTGAGTGTGCCAGAGCGCAGATTAACTGACAAATTTACAAACGCTCAACACTCGTTGAATATGGCCGGTGTCAGTAAACGTTGGCAAAAAAACGTAATTAAATTGTTGCCAGCAGCACAGTTGCAGTCACCAACGCTCTGGATAACATAAAAACAGCTTAACCAGCTCTGCTAGGGCGAGTAAAATGGTCAGAGTGAGCTGCTCTCTCATTTGTGTCTGGAAGTAGCTAGCCAACGTTAGCCAGTTAGCTTGGGTGCTTGACTGCTGTTGTTAGGTCAGAATGCTTGGATCAACTCTACTTTTTGGCCAGAGCGTCCAGTGTGCGCTCTGAACGCTCAGAGAGCGAAACGCTCAGAATTTAAAAACGGCCAATCTGACAACGCTCTGAGTTTTACGAACGCCCAGAGCACACTCTAGCACTCCATATAAAATGTACGAACACACCCGTAGTATAAACCAGCCTTTAGTCTTGAAATCTGTGGTTGTTTAGTACATAGCCTCACATGTGAATACTTAAAGAGATGGGTGGGGGCTAAAGCTTAAAAGGGTGTGAACGATGTTGAATGGGTGTAGACAAAGAAGAGCTCTCCAGTAGGTACCAAAACAAACAAGGGCCATTTTCTAAAAAGTGACGTTACAAGTTTATCAACTTTCAAAGCAGAATTACTTTCCCATTGTTCCTCAACTGTAGTGTATGATATACCATTTTCTAGCTCTGAGTCTCTATTTTTATCCAATGTAAAAAACACAATTTCAAATGTTGCTACCTATCAACGAATCGAGCCGGTCGGTCACATATATATTGAGTCAATAAAAAAAACAAGTGCCATTTAAGATACATTTATTGAAACCGTAATATCAACTGGTTATATTATATCGTGGAACACAATCTTCAAAAAGGCAGTAACCTCAGCTGTGGCGCTTGCTTGTAGAAGCCTTATGTTTGGAATCAAAAGGACTATGTAAAAGGTAGGTTAAGTAAGGGATCACAGCGGCGCTTTGCAGTGGCAAAAGAAGTGATGTGAGATTGCTGCTGCTTGGCCCCCTTCTTTGAACGTTTCTTTGTGCTTAATAAGCATATGATTTCTCATGGAGCTAGTTGTGCTGTGATATGAGAGATTGATATTGCATAGTTTGCATTGCACATGGGTCCGGTTTCATCAGTTTGATCAAAATACTTCCAAACCTCGCTGCATTTGGCGGCATGCTGATAGTGCCCACTTCTCGCTATGAGCCTTAAACAGCCCTCACACAGCCAATCAGAAGCACTTGCCATCAAATATTTGCCATTTATATTTTTCAATCTTAAATATTTAAAAATCTTAATTAAAGAAGTCGTAATGTGTTAGTTAACCCCGCTCTATCTCAATATAACACGTTTAATTTTGACAAGAGTTATTAAATAAATAAGACATGTTATGGAAAAAAAAAAGATCTCTGGTTAAAGATCGAGTTTTGATGTCCGTTCGAGTACTCATGCCCTTCCCTAAGCAGGCCTAATCCCATGACTGCCCGGCCGCACACATTTACGTCTCAGTGTAACTCTGGGAAGCGTCTCCTCTGGAGGAGGACATAGAAGCCCACGCACACACATTTCATTTTCTCTTGAGCACATACCATCCACAACAGCTTCCGTGGAGCAGTTCTCCCCGCTGTCCTTCCGACACACTCCTGCTGACAGGAACTCTCCCACCATACTGGCCCCACTCTCTGCCAAACAGGAAAACAAAGGGTCAGGAGAAACTCTTGTGCCTTTTTTGTCTCAATATTGTCTATTGCAAACGAGGGACCATATTAGGCCTTACAGACTTAATTCACAGCAGGAAATCTGGTGCAAGTTTTAAATGTGACAATCAGCGTGGGGAGGATAGACAGAGGAAGCCATTCTGTTTGGGAATTTTAAGTGACATAGGGAGCGCCTGCTCTTTGACCTTACCAAGTGTTTTATTAGGTATCCTGTCAATGTTAAGGAGAAAGTCATCCTGGAAGAAGATGTAGCCCACGATGGAGAAGAGGTAGACCAGGATGAGAGCCAGCACGGCTGTCAGCAGGATGGAGCGGCCATTACGGGTTACACTCTTGATCACATTCAGCAGCGTCTCCTCCCTGTACACCAGGTCAAAGAGCTGCAGGAGAGACAAGAGAAAAACACACCTTAGTGGGAGGCGGGGGGGGGGGTGAGTGATTGAGTGAGTGAGTGAGTGAGTGAGTCCAGTTCTTACCAGCAGACTGTAGAAGAAGACATGGACGAAGACGCCCAGACTACAGATGATCAGGTAGAGGAGGTGGTAGAGGAACTCTACATCCATGATCATGGCCTTGTAGCCCCGCGTGAACGTCCCTCTGTTCCCCACAAAACTCATCAAGAATATCATCTTATTGCCCACCTGAGGAACAGTGGAAAACATGGAGGGATTGAGTCAAAGAGCAGCAACTTTGCCAGGTTAATTTAAAAGGTAAATACTGGTATCTGCAAAAGCAAAGTAGAGATATTCAGAAACAACCAGACATAGCAGACACAACCAGGCAACACAACAAACTTACAGAGAGACTGGCATAGATAGAGGTCAACAAGAGGTAGACTTGCACCCAGTAAAGTTGACATCAGTTTGAGGGCACAGGGGCTACTGTAACCTAACGTAGCAGGCACAAAAGCAAGGACCCAGCGACCAGAATCCCACCCAGTCACAGAGGCACACACTCACACGCATTAAAGAAACTTCTGAGCGATGTCGGCAGAAACCGGAAGCATCCAACAGGACCCAGTGACCAGAAACCCACCCAGTCACACACACTTGCAGACACACTTACGTTGAAGGCCCCTAGGAGGAAGAGGGTTGGCTCCAGGCCCACAGAGAAGATGAGGCGGAGGATGGTGGAGGCGATGAGGACCCGGACGCCGTGGGGCTGGGGCAGGATGATGACGATGGCCAGGGACACCAGCATGGCGATCCACAGCAGGGCTGACAGGTGACCATCCAGGGTACCTGGAGAGAGGAAGGGGGAGAGGATAGAGGCAAGAAGTAGGGTTAAAAGGTGGGAGGGATGGGACATGGATAGTGTTGTCCATGTAAGATGCCTACTTGGAATATTCCTACAGTAACACATAGGCTTACTGTAGATTACATCACTTTTAAAAGTAGATCCAGTTAAAGATTTGTTTACATTGAATGTTGAATCAAAAGAGAAAAGCAGCCAACACTACAAGCACTGGCTCATCCAACTGCTGTAATGATAGATGGCAAAGCATTGGGTGCTATTAACAGGCAAACAATAATATGTTCTTGGCCTCCAGTGCGGGATATCCTTCTGCAGTAATTTCACCTGTTGGACATGCTCAGGCACATTCTTCTCCCCAGGGAGATGAGGCAGAGCTCTAAAACATTACAGTACTAAATGTTACATAATATACAGTGGGGAAAAAAAGTATTTAGTCAGCCACCAATTGTGCAAGTTCTCCCACTTAAAAAGATGAGAGAGGCCTGTAATTTTCATCATAGGTACACGTCAACTATTTTTTTTCTCCAGAAAATCACATTGTAGGATTTTTAATGAATTTATTTGCAAATTATGGTGGAAAATAAGTATTTGGTCACCTACAAACAAGCAAGATTTCTGGCTCTCAGAGACCTGTAACTTCTTCTTTAAGAGGCTCCTCTGTCCTCCACTCGTTACCTGTATTAATGGCACCTGTTTGAACTTGTTATCAGTATAAAAGACACCTGTCCACAACCTCAAACAGTCACACTCCAAACTCCACTATGGCCAAGACCAAAGAGCTGTCAAAGGACACCAGAAACAAAATTGTAGACCTGCACCAGGCTGGGAAGACTGAATCTGCAATAGGTAAGCAGCTTGGTTTGAAGAAATCAACTGTGGGAGCAATTATTAGGAAATGGAAGACATACAAGACCACTGATAATCTCCCTCGATCTGGGGCTCCACGCAAGATCTCACCCCGTGGGGTCAAAATGATCACAAGAACGGTGAGCAAAAATCCCAGAACCACACGGGGGGACCTAGTGAATGACCTGCAGAGAGCTGGGACCAAAGTAACAAAGCCTACCATCAGTAACACACTACGCCGCCAGGGACTCAAATCCTGCAGTGCCAGACGTGTCCCCCTGCTTAAGCCAGTACATGTCCAGGCCCGTCTGGAGTTTGCTAGAGTGCATTTGGATGATCCAGAAGAGGATTGGGAGAATGTCATATGGTCAGATGAAACCAAAATAGAACTTTTTGGTAAAAACTCAACTCGTCGTGTTTGGAGGACAAAGAATGCTGAGTTGCATCCAAAGATCACCATACCTACTGTGAAGCATGCTTTGGGGCTGTTTTTCTGCAAAGGGACCAGGACGACTGATCCGTGTAAAGGAAAGAATGAATGGGGCCATGTATCGTGAGATTTTGAGTGAAAACCTCCTTCCATCAGCAAGGGCATTGAAGATGAAACATGGCTGGGTCTTTCAGCATGACAATGATCACAAACACACCGCCCGGGCAACGAAGGAGTGGCTTCGTAAGAAGCATTTCAAGGTCCTGGAGTGGCCTAGCCAGTCTCCAGATCTCAACCCCATAGAAAATCTTTGGAGGGAGTTGAAAGTCTGTGTTGCCCAGCGACAGCCCCAAAACATCACTGCTCTAGAGGAGATCTGCATGGAGGAATGGGCCAAAATACCAGCAACAGTGTGTGAAAACCTTGTGAAGACTTACAGAAAACGTTTGACCTGTGTCATTGCCAACAAAGGGTATATAACAAAGTATTGAGAAACGTTTGTTCTTGACCAAATACTTATTTTCCACTATAATTTGCAAATAAATTCATTAAAAATCCTACAATGTGATTTTCTGGAATTCTTTTTCTCATTTTGTCTGTCATAGTTGACGTGTACCTATGATGAAAATTACAGGCCTCTCTCATCTTTTTAAGTGGGAGAACATGCACAATTGGTGGCTGACTAAATACTTTTTTTCCCCACTGTAGAAAGTGTGACATCAGAATGTTGTGGCTCAGTGAAGCTTTATAATGAGCTTACCTGGCACTAACTTCGTGGCTTAGTCCCAGCTCTGTTCTGTGCAACACAAGGACAAAGTCAGACGGTGAACTGTTTGTATGTGTGTGTGTGTGTGTGTGTGTGTGTGCGTGCGTACGTACATGTGTGCGTGTGTGTGTGTGTGTTCAGCTGAAAACGAGGTCAGTCGTCTTTGCCGGATTCACTTCCAGGCCCCAGCCAGAGGCGAGTTTAGAGCTTCCTCCCACTCCCTCCCTGTCTGCCCCCTCTCTTCTCCTCTCCGTGCAGAGATCACATGACAGGTGCTCGTTACATAACTGGGGCCGCTAAAAATACCCCTGGCTCCTGAGAAATTCATGAGGGATGGTCTGGGAGGGATCCCAGGTCCGCCGGCTGACAGCACACCAGGGAGCTGGACTCCACAGCCAAGCCGCCACGGAGGTAGGAATGGACGTCACAGGACTCCTCTCCAAACCCCATTCCTTTCTCTCCAAAAAGTCCAAAAGATTCCACTACCACAGCATAGCAGGATGAGAGCAGGATGCAGCCATTGCTCAACTCCTCCTCTACACCCAGTGTCTGATATCAACAGATACCATGTCTTCCTGGGTTGAAAGGCCAAACAGGTAGGTCTGTGGGAACAGACTTCAAAGCAAATTCTCAGAGTGGACAAGAGAGGAGTTTAATATGTTAACATGGCTAAATTAGGCCAAAATACCCTCCCTCCCGACAGGCAACTGCTATGCCAGCCATGCCACACTGACCCACCTCCGGAAGAGTGGGGAGCCACAAAACATAGAGCTCAACCAGGTCCTCTCTAGACAAACACTTCCCTGGGAAGTCTAGAGCAGACTGGGACGAGCAGCACACTATGGAATGACTGCTAGGCTTTTTATGACTTGTTTTATAGGAGAGTGCATCAGCTGAGCTCTGGGCAAGGCTCAATACTGTAAAGTACAGGACCTTTAGAGAAGCCACCTCTCAGAGATACACACTGTCTTACAGGTGAGTCATTTCTCACTCCTAGCTATTCTTATTATTCCTACTTGTTTACCTAACTCTACACCTGCATACTGAATGCCCAAGTCTTTGCATGTATTTCTCATGCTCTCAAAAATGTCTTTCAATAAAAGCTTTGTTTAAAGTCGTAAAAGTCTACCAGGCCAATGAAGTTCACTTCCCTTTTACAAGCAGCTGGATTGAACATTAACAACGAGCAGCATCAGAGCTGGCATACATCCGGACAGACATTATTATGGACCAATTAATTGTATGTGCATTTAAGATTTACTACTGAGCAATAATGATTCGCAAGCCGAGCTTTTATGCACATGATGGCTGGCTACATCGTTAAGCCGACATAATTTCCCCCATTGCCCATGTCCTGAGCTGAACCCTACAGTCTGATGCTAATCTCTCTGAAGACACTGGAATCCACATGAATGTATTCTAGCTCTAAGCTAAAAGTGTTTTCGGTTCTCTCTCTCTCTCTGAGGAAGTTGAAAACAAAAGGGACTGCGCCGCTTGACCCCAGTCAGACAGAACAATGTAAAGTTTATGCGAGTCACAATGTGGGTCTTCTCTCTGCAACTCTGCCCTGGAACAATAAAGGCCTTAATGACTGGGGCTTTGCTTTACACATCACCACAGACTAACACTGCGGTCAGGCATGGCGAGGGAGACACAGAGAGAGAGAGAGAGAGAGAGAGAGAGAGAGAGAGAGAGATGGAGAGAGAGAGAGAGAGAGATGGAGAGAAAAGGCAGTTAAGTGAACATGTCTCTAAAATAACAACAATTTATTCAATACTTGACATTGCACAGGGGCAGCAGTTTCCCCCTGCACACTGGCATACAGTGAAGGTAAAATATAGGATTTAAAAGCTTGAATTCTAAGCTCCGCCCGGGCCAACCACTAGAGCAGCTCCTTTATGCCTTGTGAGTTTGCACAAGACCAATGTTCAACACCTAAGCCTGATGAGTGGCTATGTTCCTAAGGAAAGGTCAAATGTCACGGTCTGGGGCACAGTGAAATGCACTTCTCGCATCCTCTCTCCTCGTCTCCTTCTCAAAACATATTGGAGGAGAAGGTTAGAGGGGAGGGACCTCTGGCTTTCTCATCCAATGGGTTTTGAGAAGGAGAAACAGAGAGGATGCAATTGAGATCTTCCTCAATGAGCTACTTATATTGTGTATTCATTGTTTTCTTTATCTTTATTTCATTTACATTTTAGTCATTTAGCAGACGCTCTTATCCAGAGCGACTTACAGGAGCAATTAGGGTTAAGTGCCTTGCTCAAGGGCACATCGACAGATTTTTCACCTAGTCGGCTCCACAGATACATTGATTTTCAAGCACATTCAAATTTCTTCTGCTTTGTTGCTGCTTATCAAACAGTAGTTATTTGAAGAGAGGGAGTGTTGGGAATTCTGTAAGAGCTGACAGGGACACACCCCAGGCCTTATCGGGTAGGTGTCACTTTTCAGGGTAGCCCAAATAGCAGGGTAGCCCCCCCTGCGTTCAGGGCGTAATATTTCCTGCCAGGCTCAGGGTGACCAGACCACATGGAGGCACACACAGTAAACAAACACAGCACGAATTACCAATTTTATAATATTATAATACAATTATTATTACCATTAGTGTTTATCCTGCTACCTGCCACTTTAACCCGTTTACATGTACATTCCTTCCTCAATCCCTCCAGTACCCCTGCATATTGTAAAAACGATCCTGGCACTGCACTGACCTTAATATAAGACCTGTATATAAGACCTGTACATAAGACCTGTATATACAGTGGGGGAAAAAAATATTTAGTCAGCCACCAATTGTGCAAGTTCTCCCACTTAAAAAGATGAGAGAGGCCTGAAATTTGCATCATAGGTACACGTCAACTATGACAGACAAATTGAGGAAAAAAATCCAGAAAATCACATTGTAGGATTTTTAATGAATTTATTTGCAAATTATGGTGGAAAATAAGTATTTGGTCACCTACAAACAAGCAATATTTCTGGCTCTCACATACCTGTAACTTCTTCTTTAAGAGGCTCCTCTGTCCTCCACTCGTTACCTGTATTAATGGCACATGTTTGAACTTGTTATCAATATAAAAGACACCTGTCCACAACCTCAAACAGTCACACTCCAAACTACACTATGGCCAAGACCAAAGACCTGTCAAAGGACACCAGAAACAAAATTGTAGACCTGCACCAGGCTGGGAAGACTGAATCTGCAATAGGTAAGCAGCTTGGTTTGAAGAAATCTACTGTGGGAGCAATTATTAGGAAATGGAAGACATACAAGACCACTGATAATCTCCCTCGATCTGGGGCTCCACGCAAGATCTCACCCCGTGGGGTCAAAATGATCACAAGAACGGTGAGCAAAAATTCCAGAACCACACGGGGGGACCTAGTGAATGACCTGCAGAGAGCTGGGACCAAAGTAACAAAGCCTACCATCAGTAACACACTACGCCGCCAGGGACTCAAATCCTGCAGTGCCAGATGTGTCCCCCTGCTTAAGCCAGTACATGTCCAGGCCCGTCTGAAGTTTGCTAGAGTGCATTTGGATGATCCAGAAGAGGATTGGGAGAATGTCATATGGTCAGATGAAACCAAAATAGAACTTTTTGGTAAAAACTCAACTCGTCGTGTTTGGAGGACAAAGAATGCTGAGTTGCATCCAAAGAACACCACACCTACTGTGAAGCATGGGGGTGGAAACATCATGCTTTGGGGCTGTTATTCTGCAAAGGGACCAGGACGACTGATCCGTGTAAAGGAAAGAATGAATGGGGCCATGTATCGTGAGATTTTGAGTGAAAACCTCCTTCCATCAGCAAGGGCATTGAAGATGAAACGTGGCTGGGTCTTTCAGCATGACAATGATCCCAAACACACCGCCCGGGCAACGAAGGAGTGGCTTCGTAAGAAGCATCCTGGAGTGGCCTAGCCAGTCTCCAGATCTCAACCCCATAGAAAATCTTTGGAGGGAGTTGAAAGTCTGTGTTGCCCCTAAACAGCCCCAAAACATCATTGCTCTAGAGGAGATCTGCATGGAGAAATGGGCCAACAGTGTGTGAAAACCTTGTGAAGACTTACAGAAAACGTTTGACCTGTGTCATTGCCAACAAAGGGTATATAACAAAGTATTGAGAAACTTTTGTTATTGACCAAATACTTATTTTCCACCATAATCTGCAAATAAATTCATAAAAAATCCTACAATGTGATTTTCTGGATTTTTTTTCTCATTTTGTCTGTCATAGTTGACGTGTACCTATGATGAAAATTACAGGCCTCTCTCATCTTTTTAAGTGGGAGAACTTGCACAATTGGTGGCTGACTAAATACTTTTTTCCCCCACTGTAACTGCATTCTCGTGTTTTTCTTTTTTTCTTCTGTTACATTTCATATGTTTTATTTCTTATCTACACTACCGTTCAAAGGTTTGGGGAAAAGGCGCCTCACAGGTCCTCAACTGGCAGCTTCATTAAATAGTACCCGCAAAACACCAGTCTCAACGTCAACAGTGACGAGGCGACACCGGGATGCTGACCTTCTAGGCAGAGTTGCAAAGAAAAAGCCATATCTCAGACTGGCCAATAAAAAGAAAATATTAAGTTTGGCAGTCTGAGATATGGCTTTTTCTTTGCAACTCTGCCAAGAAGGTCAGCATCCAGGAGTCGCCTCGTCACTGTTGACGTTGAGACTGGTGTTTTGCGGGTACTATTTAATGAAGCTGCCAGTTGAGGACCTGTGAGGCGCCTTTCTCAAACTAGACACTCTAATGTATTTGTCCTCTTGCTCAGTTGTGCACCGGGGCCTCCCACTCCTCTTTCTATTCTGGTTAGAGCCAGTTTGCGCTGTTCTGTGAAGGGAGTAGTACACAACGTTGTACGAGATCTTCAGTTTCTTGGCAATTTCTCGTATGGAATAGCCTTCATTTCTCAGAACAAGAATAGACTGACGAGTTTCAGAAGAAAGTAATTTGTTTCTGGCCATTTTGAGCCTGTAATCGAACCCACAATTGCTGATGCTCCAGACACTCAACTAGTCTCAAGAAGGCCAGTTTTATTGCTTCTTTAATCAGCACAACAGTTTTCAGCTGTGCTAACATAATTGCAAAAGGGTTTTCTAATGATCAATTAGCCTTTTAAAATGATCAATTTGGATTAGCAAACACAACATGCCATTGGAACACAGGACTGATGGTTGCTGATAATGGACCTGTGTACGCCTATGTAGATATTCCATTAAAAATCTGCCATTTACAACATTAACAATGTCTACAATGTATTTCTGATCAATTTGATGTTATTTTAATGGACAAAACAATTGCTTTTCTTTCGAAAAAGGACATTTCTAAGTGACCCCAAACTTTTGAATGGTAGTGTATATTACTACCTTTATTGCACATTATTGGGAAAGAGCTCACAAGTTAAGCATTTCACTGTACTGTTTTACACCTGCTGTATTCTGTGCATGTGACAATAAAATGTGAAACTTGAGAGACAGAGACATGGCAATGGATCCTGACTGCAGACTCGTCAGCATCAGAGTGAAGACAGGAGTCTGGTAACAGGTTAATTAAGTTAATGTGTGTGTGTGTATGTTTAGCTCAAACCCCATATCAATAATCAGGTCAGGGCCTGATTCAGAGGACCTGACATTAATAAGTGATGCCAGTGATCGAGGTTTACATAAGTTAGAATGGTGTGATGCTACACCAAAACCACAGGCATGAGACAGGAATCCAGCCTTGTATCACAGATCAGAGGTAAAGGTTACCTTCATAAATGTATGAAAGGAATTGTTTTTAATATCCAAATAATTATCTCAAAGACATTGTGTGGAGTAGGTAGTCACATAACCTTGATTCACTCATAATAGAGCTTTATAAACATGCTTGTTTCAAACTGTAAGCTAAGTCATCCTGAGCGTGACTAAATAAGCATAAATTACTGTTGAAATGTACCGTTTGGCAAAGTGAAATCACAATATTTTCAGAGAACAGTTTGAAAACAGTGGTGACCCAGTTCACGCTCCATTCACCTTCCCAAACAGTGTTTGTGTGTAATGTGCGTTGTAATGCAGTTCCCCTGCTTTAATGGTATGTGCTTGACATTCGCTCCAATATCCAGTTTGGTAACAGTCACACTTGTAGAATTAAACAGAGAACCTCTAGCTACACATACAGAGATCAGCCATCGTTTGGCACAGATACCCTGCATATTATTTAGCTGAGCGAGAGAGCGATTGAGGAGGTAGGGGAGAAGGAGGAGGAGAGAACTCACTGACCTCCGCGGATTCCTTCCAGAGGGTAGAAGAAGGCCACCAGCAGGTTCATGAGCACGGCCAGGTTGAAGGAGATGCTGCTCCAGAAGGACATGTTGCGGGAGCACCAGTACAGAATGGGCTGGGCTGGAGAGGGGACGAAGAGGGCCAACACACACGGTCAATACATAGTCAATAGGACCACCTCTACACCAGAAAACAACGCAGTGCATTCACTACTACAACTACACCACCATCACAATACCGCTGCACTCGCCAAACTTATACAAGATTCACAGAACACATCACAGGAGATGCACATACAGTATCTATGGCACATGTAAACACATTTGACAAAGCATTCATTGGAGGATTGTCCACTTACGCACTTTGAGATTATTCTGAATAATGAAAAGCACTTTACAAATGTAATAAATTATTATTATTATTATTATTATTATTATTATTATTATTATTATTATTATTTTGCACAATGCAGAGGTTCTTAAAGGGATACTTCCGGAGTCAGATGAACTCGTGGATAACATTTTTATGTCTCTGCGTGCAGTTTGAAGGAAGTTGCTAACTAGCGCTAGCACAACTGCTAACTAGTGTTAGTACAATGACTGGAAGTCTATGGTATCTGCTAGTAGATACCCATAGACTTCCAGTCGTCATTGCGCAAACACTAGTTACCATTTGCTCACGAAACTACCTCCAACTTCCCTTCATACTGGACACAGAGACATACAAATGATATCTACAAGTTTACCTGACTCTGGGGGAAATCCCAAAGTATCCCTTTTTTTTCTCCCTAATTCTGATCTTGTCTCATCGCTGCAACTCCCCAACGGGCTCGGGAGGCGAAGGTCGAGTCATGCGTCCTCCGAAACATGACCCGCCAAACCGCGCTTCTTAACACCCACCCGCTTCACCCGGAAGCCAGCCGCACCAATGTGTCGGAGGAAACACTGTTCAACTAATGGCCAAGGTCAGCCTGCAGGCGCCCGGCCCGCCACAAGGAGTCGGTAGAGCGCGATGAGCGAAGTAATGCCCCCCCCCCCCCAGCCAAACCCTCACGATGCTGGGCCAAATGTGCGCCGTCCTATGGGACTCCCGATCACGGACGGTTGTGATACAGCCCGGGATCGAACCCGGGTCTGTAGTGATGCCTCTAGCACTGCGATGCAGTGCATTAGACATTTTTAACAATCACAATTGCATCTAGAGCTAAATCTCAAATATAAGACATATACCACTAGGGGTTAGAATTATGTCTAGTATGACATTTTTTAAAGGGGGGAAGGGGTGGCAATTTTGTATTTGGTTACAGTTGTATGAAGGTTACTGTTAGCTGGTACCAAAACATCATGGGTGATTGGGCGATTCACTTATCAGTTTTTCTCGCAGCAAATAATACACCCCAGTGGCACAGGTCTTCACTATCCTGCAACTGTTCCAGGAAATGACTGAAGTGTTTGCGTTGTTTGTGTCAGCTGAAGCATTCAACCCAATAGGGGTGCACATTTTGGTTTTTGCACTAGACAGTTGATTCAAATAATCAAAGTGTGATGATGATAGTACATAGAACTACATACAATGGTTACATAAGCTAACACATTTTCACACCAGAGCAGTTTTTCAAACTGAGGGTTAGTTCTACATTAAACTAGAATTACGTCCAGGCTAAGGTTCACAATCTGTTTATTTTCAAACAGCGTAAGGGTAGGGTCAGATAGGCAATTTGCAAGGGTCAAATACACACTAAACAGCAAAGCAAAAACTTCACCTAAACATCGAAAGGGTGCAAAGCCAATTAGCATGCTTTTTTGGTGTACATAAATACTACGGGCTGATTTTGGAGTGTGTTCAGTACTGTCCAGCCCTTGACCCAAGGATTTGAACATCCAACTTGGACACTCATGACCGCCAACCACTTCCCCGGCCAACATAAGCCACGCTCGCCTCGCCTTCTGCCCACATGGTCTTTGCTCAGAGAGTCGGTCGGTTGCGTGGCCGCTGCTATTTTGGAGGCAGCTTTTTCATTTGAAAAGAGGAACTGAGGGTGGGGCCTTTTATAAACAGAAGCCACCGCACTCATGACTTGAGATTAGCACTAACGGAACAACATGGCCTCTCAGTCCCTGTGCTGCTGTTTCATTCAGATAAGACAGAGGCGTGTGTCACGTGTGTCAGAGTGCAGACCCTTCCTACAGTACAGGGCTCACAGAGGGACAGACAGGCAGAAACACGCTCCCATTGAGGAAACAAAGAGTGCAGTCATACAGCGATCACAGCCTGAGAGGGGGGATGGAGGAATCAGGAACTAGGCATCAGTAGGGAGACGCCCTACTGAATGTGTAACATGGGGGATGTTTGGCGGGTGGACTTGGGATGAGGGCATCAACAATCACACCAAGAGTTACTGTAGGACTTTTTTTCCCCTTTTTTTAACCTCCCTTGAGGCTTAGGGTGTTATACTGTCTGCAAACAGATTCTGATAACGCTAATCTTATTCTCTAAATGTCTAACCCTCTACCTCCACAAAAAATCCTTTCTTCTCACTCTATTGAATCACTCTATCCCCCAGTCCCTCTCATGGCATCTGGATCCCATTCATCAAGTAGGCCTAATCTGGTCCTGTCCTCCACCACACTCTCCAGCAGTCCTATAGATGGCTCATGCCAGGGGACTTCCTGATCGCTCTCAGTCTGTGCTGCCTCAACCCTTGTGGGCCTGGGGCTAGCAGTTGTGTCTGAAGGGAGTATTGACTGCTGCTGTACTGATGGTCTGCTGGATCCTGGACTGACTCTCCATGGAAGAGACCCACCCAGACTGACCTCCAATCCCATTACACCCTATTCTCAGAGCAGCTCAGCCTCTTGTCTAGCTATCTATTCTCTCCCTCCGAGACAGGGCCATGGCATGTACTCAGTGTAGTAAACAATCCAAATATATCCCATGTGATTATGTGTGGGAACATAAACAAATGTACAGTACTGTAGCTGCTTGTGAAAACAGTGGTATGTGTGGGGCGTGAACATGTGTCAATCAAGAATTTCACAATTCTTTATGAGACCTGGCAGTAAGTCACACCCACATTCTCAACAATTCCCCCTCTGTCATGTAAACATTTCACTCCAACCTTACACTGTAAATATCTTAGCCTTTATCCACTTTATGTTAGCTGCTCTAACTTAATGTACAACCTTTACATGCCCTCTCCCCTCCCTCCCTTCCCTCCAGGGTTCAGGGTGGGTCTCTGGCCCAGGCAGGGAGAACCCGACCCAGCCTGGGGTGTCTCCTGAGGGACCCGGAGGGGTCAGGGAGGGCTGAGGGCATGTAAAGCAGGTACCTAGTATAGAGAGGTAGGGAGAGGGACGCACAGGGAACCGTGTTTGCGTTACCAGTGGTTGGCTCTTGAGTACCTCGCAGCTTCTTCTGCCAGTTCATCTCGTTGAAGAGGTCCTCGGAGCGCAGGAAGAAGTCGTTGATCTTGCTGCCCTGCTCATCGCGCTCCGTGGTGTAGTACACCCGCAGCTTTGACTCGTTGGTGAGGAACTCACAGATGTTGGGCACGGGGAAGACTATCTGCTCCATGGTGCGATCCAGCCGCACAATCTGGACACAACCACATGCAGCCAACGCTGCCTGTCACAGACCTTCTCTCTCAGGGGGGGTACGGGCAACTCTAGGCCCTGTATTGGGTAGGCCCCAAACTTTATGGTTAGATAGTGGCATGTCGGTTCCTATTCTTCCCCTTGGAAAAATGGCTAATACATTTTCTGGCTATAATAATGTTATACACTTGAAGAGGAGTAGAGAGTGTGTATAAGTGGCTGTGTGTATAAAAGCACTGTGCAACACCTTACACTAATTTGATAAGCTCTTCCTCATTTGAGGTTTTGTGCATTGTCAACAGACAGCATTCTTTCCCCTTGCTGAGCACACAGTGGAACACGTGCAAACATACCAAAGCTGCTAGTCATATTCATATGCTAACAAAATACTGACAGTATGAAAATTAGGCCAAGAAAAATAACATGACTGTCACATGAGTAGGGTAACAAAAGTCAAAACATATTTTTGCCAGAATACATGTTGCAATCCACCATAGTGAACACAGGGGTAATAAAACGGAAAATCACATAGTAAAAACACAGTGGACAAAATGCATCTTCAATTTCAGTGCAGGGAGAGGACACTGGCAGTGGCAGAGCCACAATGGCTGACTCTCCTGAATCATGAGTAAAATGACTGACCTCAATCTGAGCTGTGTGCTTGGCATAGAACTCCAGGGCTTCATCTCCCTCCCCATAGGTCTTCAACATAGCCTGCAGCTCCTTGTTGTGGCGGGCCAACTGAAACAACAACATTGTATGAATGTACCTATGTCGTCAGTACCACATTATTGTTGTGAATTTTCATTGTACATTGGTCAAAATTGACGATCAGGGTTTTCTAAGTCACCAACTTCATGGAACGTGTTAGGTGTGTGTACAGGTGACTGACACTGACATTACATTTACATTTTAGTCATTTAGCAGACGCTCTTATCCAGAGCGACTTACAGTTATTGAGAGCATACATTATTATTTATTAGTATTATTATTATTATTATATATTTATTAATTTTTTCATACTGGCCCCCGTGGGAATTGAACCCACAACCCTGGCGTTGCAAACGCCATGCTCTACCAACTGAGCTACATCCCTGCCGGCCATTCCCTCCCCTACCCTGGACGACGCTGGGCCGGTCGCGGTCGGTTACGACAGAGCCTGGATTCGAACCAGGATCTCTAGTGGCACAGCTAGCACTGCGATGCAGATAAGTGGAGTGTCTGACAGTACATGCCACTGTTTAGCTTTGTGCTCCAAGTACAGGATGCAGACTCTGTTCAGTGTTCACCCACTAGCCTGCAGGGCATCATGACTTGGGATCAACATTTTCACCTACATAACTGAAACTGTCGGTGTTGTTCACCCACATAACTACGTGAATAAACACAGTCGTGCATAGAGCTGTATTGATCTGTATTGTGCCTTAGGGGGGTTACGGTGGAAGCAAGGAGGGTAGTGCACTGATGTAATATGCCTATAGGTTGTTTAGCTGTTACAGGGGTAAAGGAAAGGAAAGGGGGATACCTAGTCAGTTGTACAACTGAATGCATTCAACTGAAATGTGTCTTCCTCATTTAACCCAACCCCTCTGAATCGGGCTGCCTTAATCGACATCCACGTCATCGGAGCCCGGGGAACAGTGGGTTAACTGCCTTACTCAGGGGCAGAATGACAGATTTTTTACCTTGTCAGCTTGGGTACTGTATGGGGGTGTAAAGTTGCATGCAGCCAGTCAGTGATCTGCAGTACCTGATGAGCCAGGATGTAGATGTTATGGCCCACGTTTCTTGGAGAGGCTGCATGCTCTTCCTCACCATCTTCATCTTCCTCAGCAGGCTCCTCTGGCTCCACCTCCCCTTGCATGTAGGCCTTCTTTATCACCTCCACCTGCACATGAACGTCACAAACCAGACCGTCAGATAACTTCGCCTTAACATTGTCCTCTGTGCCATGCTGTGCTGCATGTGCATCTGGCAACCAACACTGTATATGCCACTCACCAGTTCTTTGGGCCTCATGTTGTATAGTATCCTCTCTGCGTTCTCACTGTCATGGCGACTCTCCATGATGGCCAAGAGGAGCTTGGAGGCATTATTCTGGAACAGAAAGAGAGAGGGGCAAGGGAGACAGAACATCAGGAGTATGGATAACATTCAGGTTGTCATGAGTACTGAAGGTAAAAAAATGCATTGAAACGAAGACTTAAGCCTACTAGAAAGTGTGTGCCCTCAGGCCCAGAGGGAAGCAAAGGTTATTCCGCTACCTAAGAATAGTAATGCCCCCTTTACTGGCTCAAATAGCCTACCAATCAGCCTGTTACCAACCCTTAGTAAACTTTTGGAAAAAATGGTGTTTGACCAGATACAATGCTATTTTACAGTAAACAAATTGACAACAGACTTTCAGCACGCTTATAGGGAAGGACATTCTACAAGCACAGCACTTACACAAATTACTGATGATTGGCTGAGAGAAATTGATGATAAAAATATTTGGGGGGCTGTTTTGTGAGAATTCAGTGCGGCTTTTGACATTATCGATCATAGTCTGCTGCTGGAAAAACGTATGTGTTATGGCTTTACACCCCCTGCTATATTGTGGATAAAGAGTTACCTGTCTAACAGAACACAGAGGGTATTCTTTAATGGAAGCCTCTCCAACACAATCCAGGTAGAATCAGGAATTCCTCAGGGCAGCTGTCTAGGCCCCTTACTTTTATCAATCTTTACTAACAACATGCCACTGGCTTTGAGTAAAGCCAGTGTGTCTATGTATGCAGATGACTCAACACTATACACGTCAGCTACTACAGCAACTGAAAAGACTGCAACACTTAACAAAGAGCTGCAGTTAGTTTCCGAATGGGTGGCAAGGAATATGTTAGTGCTAACTATTTCAAAAACGAAAAGCATTGTATTCGAGACAAATCATTCACTAAACCCTATACCTCAACTATATCTTGTAATAAATAATGTAGAAATTGAGCAAGTTGAGGTGACTAAACTGCTTGGAGTAACCCTGGATTGTAAACTGTCATGGTGAAAACATATTGATACAACAGTAGCTAAGATGGGGAGAAGTCTTTCCATAATAAAGCGCTACTCTGCCTTTTTAACAGCACTATCAACAAGGCAGGTCCTTACAGGCCCTAGTTTTGTCGCACCTGGACTACTGTTCAGTCGTGTGGTCAGGTGCCACAAAGAGGGACTTAGGAAAATTGCAATTGGCTCAGAACAGGGCAGCACGGCTGGCCCTTGGATGTACACAGAGAGCTAACATTAATAATATGTCAATCTCTCCTGGCTCAAAGTGGAGGAGAGATTGACTTCATCACTACTTGTATTTGTGAGAGGTATTGACATGTTGAATGAACCGAGCTGTCTGTTTGAACTACTGGCACACAGCTGGGACACCCATGCATACCCCACAAGACATGCCACCAGAGGTTTCTTCACAGTCCCCAAGTCCAGAACAGGCTATGGGAGGCGCACAGTACTACATAGAGCCATGACTACATGAAACTCTATTCCACATCAAGTAACTCAAGCAAGCAGTAAAATTTAATTTAAAAAACTGATAAAAATACACTTTAGGAAACAGAGGGGACTGTGAAGCAACACAAACATAGGCACAGACACATGCATACACACACACAATAACATACGCACTATACACATACGTACACATGGATTTTGTGTTGTAGATTTGTGGTAGTAGAGTAGGGGCCTGAGGGCTCACACTTAATGTGTTGTGAAATCTGTTGTGAATGTATTGTAATGTTTTAGAATTGTATAACTGCCTTAATTTTGCTGGACCCCAGGAAGAGTAGCTGCTGCCTTGGCAGCAGCTAAGTGGGATCCATAATAAATACAAATACAAATACAGAACAAAGAAATATGCCAAATGGATAATGAAGGAAAACGATATAGGGTGCAACATGACTACTAAACCAAGACAGGGTGTCCTTACCTTGAGCTCCAGCACCAGGTCCATCCTCTTCTTGCCCAGGGGGTTGATGTCGTTGAGGATCAGAGCAATGATGATGTCGATACCGTTGCATTCATGAGTGGCGATGCAGTTCTGACAGAGAAACATACATACAGGAAACGTTTGAATCCCTCTCTGGGACTGATGTGACATTGTGTTGATGGTTGAGTCAAAATATTGGCAGATTTACCAGAAAACAATATTACAAAGGGTTTAGTTTAGTCTAACATGATCCTGCAAAGAAAAGCCATGCAAGGAAAGCCTTCTAGAAGTATGCAGCTGTGTACTGGGACCTAGCTGGGCTTGTAAAGAGAATGTAAAAGCCAAATAAAGCACTGCCAAATAAGACCAACCCTGCAATTACTGAAATAGAACCATCAGTTATATGCAATCACTGGGTAATTTGACTACAACGTTTCATGATACTGCATGTGTCACACCCTGATCAGTTTCACCTGTCTTTGTGATTGTCTCTACCCCCCTCCAGGTGTGGCCCATCTTCCCCATTATCCCCAGTGTATATATACCTGTGTTTATCTGTTGCCAGTTCGTTTTGTATCGTCAAGCCTACCATCGTTTTCCCCCTTGCTCCTGTCTTTCTCAAGTGCCTGTTTTCTAGTTTTGACCATTCTGCCTGCCCTAACCCTGAGCCTGCCTACCGTTCTGTCCCTTTTGGACTCTGATCTGGATTACTGACCTCTGCCTGCCCTTGACCTGTCGTTTGCCTGCCCCCTGTTTTTGTAATAAATGTTTGTTACTTCGACACTGTCTGCATCTGGGTCTTCTCCTGAAACGTGATAGTAAGAACTGGCCATGACTGAGCCAGCAGACTCGGACCAGGTCCACAACGTCATCTCCTCCCAAGGAGCCACCATTGGAAGGAACGAGGAGTTTCTTCATGGTCTCATGGAAGGGTTCCAGACCTTGGCCAAACGCCTTGACCGAGTGTTTAACACATTGCTGGAGCAATTCCGCGGGTTGTCTGTTAGGCAGCCTACCATGATTGTAACCTCCCAGCCCCTCAGTAACCCGGCTGTTAGCAGCGTGCTCTCCCCAGCCACCCTGGTTTCCCGAGAACCCTGCTTACCTCCCACGGAACACTTCGCTGGAGAGTCGGGAACCTGTCGGGCATTTCTCGCTCAGTGTTCGCTCATCATCGAGCTGCAGCCCTCCTCCTTCCCCTCGGACAGCTCTAAGATAGCGTACCTCATCAGGTTGATGTCCGGGAGGGCTCTCGCCTGGGCTACGGAAGTGTGGGAACAACAGTCGGCCGTATGCTTCAGTCTGGAGGAGTTCATGCAGGAGGTAAAGAAGGTTTTCGACGCTCCATTGTCAGGGAGTGTTACTCCGGGCAGCCAATGCAGTGTATTTCCGCACGTTGGCAGCTGAGTGTGCCTGGAACCCGGAAGCGCTGTTCGACATGTTCCTGCACGGAGTATCAGAGGAAGTAAAGGACGAGCTTGCAGCCCGGGAACTACCGACGGATATCAACTCGCTCATCACCTTGACCATTCGGATCGATGGGCGACTTTGGGAACGAAGGAAGGAGAGGAAGTCCGATTCCAATCGCACCCCCCCCCCCCCCCAACCAGGATTCCACTTCACCTCCGAGGAATCCCAGAAGTCCCCGATAGCTCAGTTGCAGAGAGAACCCAATGCTACCCGAGTTCCCTCGAGAGTCTCCGAAGTCTGCCGATTCACCTCTTCCCGAGCTGATGCAACTAGGCAGAACTAGGCTGTCTCCAGCTGAACAGCAAGAGTTGCCTGTATTGCGGAACAACTGGTCATTTTGTGACCACCTGTCCACGAAAAGACCAGGCTCACCGTAAAAGCGAGTACTCTGGTGGGTCATACGGATAACTTTTCCTCTCCCCTTACTCGCACCCCCTTTCATGCCATCTTGCTGTGGGGGAACCAGTCGAAATCTCTCTGTGTACTCATCGACTCTGGGGCCGATGAGAGCTTTATGGATGCTACCCTGGCAACCGAGCTGGGCATCCCCACTCAGCCCCTCTCCATTCCCATGGACGTTAGCGCGCTGGACGGGCGCTCTATAGGCCGGGTCACCCACAATACCACCCTTATCAAACTATGAGTATCAGGGAACCACAGCGAGAAGATCCATTTCCTGCTAGTTAAGTCTCCTCAGATTCCCGTGGTATTGGGTTTCTCTTGGCTCCAGCTACACAACCCCTTTATTGACTGGTCAACTGGTACCGTCATGGGCTGGAGCCCGTTCTGCCAGGCTCATTGCCTGAAGTCAGCGCAGCCTGCCCCGGGACGTCTTCCTGGGGGCTCGGAAGTTGCCTCGGACCTCTCCGCCAGGACCTCCGGGAGGTTTTCAGTAAGGCCCGGGCCACTTTGCTTCCGCCGCACTGACCCTACGACTGCAGAATCAACTTTCTCCCAGGCACCACTCCGCCTCGGGGACGAAATGACATCACGGTGAAGAACCGCTACCCACTACCACTCATCTCCTCGGCCTTTGAGCTGCTCCAGTGGGCCAACGTGTTCTCCAAGCTGGACCTACGGAACGCCTGCCACCTGGTGCGGATTTGGGAGGGGGACGAGTGGAAGACTGCCTTCAACACAGCCAGCGGTCACTACGAGTATCTGGTCATGCCATTTGGCCTTACCAATGTTCCAGCTGTGTTCCAGGTCCTGGTTAAGGATGTTCTCCGCGACATGTTGAACTGGTTCGTCTTCGTCTACCTCGATGAGATCCTTGTCATCTCCCGCTCCACCCAAGAACACATGCTCCACGTCCGACAGGTCCTCCAACGCCTCCTGGAGAACCAGCTTTTTGTGAAACCGGAGAAATACGAATTCCATCGCTCTACCATCCCCTTCCTGGGCTACATCATCGCTGCAGGGAGTGTACAGGTGGATCCCGGGAACGTGAGAGCGGTGGTGGATTGGCCCCAGCCTACGTCCAGAGTGCAGCTGCAATGTTTCCTGGGATTCGCCAACTTTTATTGCCGCTTTATCCGGGGTTACATCACCCTGGCTTCCCCCCTGTCTGCACTCACCTCTCCCAAGGTTCCGTTCACATGGTCCCCAGCTGCTGACCGGGCGTTCTGGGACCTCAAACACTGTTTCACCACTGCTCCCATCTTGGTTCATCCTGACCCGTCCCGTCAGTTCGTGGTGGAGGCCGATGCTTCGGATGTCAGAGTGGGGCGGTCCTGTCCCAGCGTTCCGCCCTGGACCTCAAGTTACATCCCTGCACCTTCTTCTCCCATTGCCTCAACACCACGGAGAGGAATTAAGATGTGGGGAATCGTGAGCTTCTCGTGGTGAAGATGGCATTGGAGGTGTGAAGGCACTGGCTGGAGGGGCCAGAACATCCATTCATTGTGTGGACAGACCACAAGGACATGGAATATCTCTGCACTGCCAAGCGTCTCAATTCCAGGCAAGCTAGGTGGGCCCTGCTTTTCACCCGGTTCAACTTCTCCCTCTCATACCGACCGGGATCTAAGAATGTCAAGCCAGATGTGCTGTCACGCCGCTACAGCCCCGCGCCTACACCCCCGGAATCCAAGACCGTCCTTCCCACCTTGTGCTTGGCGACTGCACTCAGTTGGGGAATAGAGAAGCAGGTCTGGGAGGCGCAGCGTTCCCAGCCAAACCCCGGGGGGGGGGGGGGGGGGGGGGGGGGGCAGATAACCATATGTTTTTTCCTGACGCTGTCCGCTCCTCGGTTATGGAGTGGGCCCACTCCCCCAGGCTTGCTTGCCACACGGCCTTTGTGCGACAACGCTTTTGGTGGCCTACCATGGTTCCTGACGTCTCCTGGTTCGTCGCCGCCTGCACGATCTGTGCGCAGCACAAGACTCCTCTGCAAGCTCCGGCTGGTCTCCTCCAACTTATGCCTGTTCCTCACCGTCCCTGGTCTCACATATCCCTGGACTTTGTCACAGGTCTTCCCCCGTCTGATGGCAACACCGCCATCCTGACAGTTGTGGACCGGTTTTACAAAGCCACACACTTCATTCCTCTCCCCAAGCTAACCACCGCCAAAGAGATGGCCCAGCTCATGGTGCAGCACGTCTTCCGGATCCATGGACTCCCAGTGGACATGGTCTCCGACCGGGGTCCTCCGTTCTGCACACTCATTGGGTCGTCGGCCAGCCTGTCCTTCGGTTTCCACCCTCAGTCCAACGGCCAGTCGGAGCGAGCCAACCAAGACCTGGAGACGACTCTGCGCTGCCTGGTCTCCGCCAACCCCACCACCTGGAGCCAGCAACTAGTGTGGGTCGAAAAATGCCCGCAACACCCTTCCCTGCTCTGCCACGGGTCTTTCGCCCTTTGAGTATGGGTTAACAGCCCCCACTCTTCCCGGAGCAAGAGGAAGAGGTCGGCATACCCTCGGCCCAAATGTTTGTCCGCCGCTGTCGTCGTACCTGGAGGAGAGCCCAGTCGGCTCTTCTCAAGACCACCTCCAGGTATCGACAACAAGCGGCTCGCCACCGGACCCCGGCTCCCCGGTATCGTCTCGGGCAGAAGGTATGGCTGTCCACCCGAGATCTGCCCCTCCGGGTGGAGTCCTGCAAACTTTCCCCCCGATTTATCGGCCCTTTCCCCATCTCCAAGATCATTAGCCCCTCTGCTGTTCGTCTTCTGTTGCCCCGTACCCTCCGTATACATCCCACTTTTCATGTGTCTAGGATCAAACCCATGTCTCACAGCCCTTTGTCTCCTGTTTCCTGTTACCGACCTCTGCATGCCCTTGACCTGTCGTTTGCCTGCCCCCTGTTTTTGTAATAAACGTTTGTTACTTCGATACTGTCTGCATCTGGGTCTTCTCCTGAAACGTGATAGCATGTGCACATATAAAACAATACTTTTGATCTAGACAGTAGGAGGAACCTCAAAACACAACATTTGTAAAATCGGTGTGTCTGTGAGTGTGTGTGTGTGTGTGTATGCCCACCTGATTCTCATGGCAGGGTCCCTGGCAGTACTCTGTGAGGCTCTCTACTGTCTGGTTGATGAGGCCTACGTTCTTCTCATTGATGTAGAGTCCCAGTAGACCCAGGCCTCCCGTGGTGCTGCCACAGATACAGTCCAGGAACTGCAGCGTCTCACACACCAGATTATAGTTGTTCTTGTTGTTCTGACACCGTAGGAAGTTCTGGAGGAAAGAGACACACAACTCAAAGTTAGAGACACACTAATTCATATGTTCTTTCTAAACATTGGCAATATGAACAATGCGCTCAGATCTCTCTATGAACAAATTGGTTTATTCCACTGAAAACTAATAATAATAGGCTATTTAGCAGACGCTTTTATCCAAAGCGACTTATAGTCATGTGTGCATACATTTTTACGTATGGGTGGTCCCGGGGATCGAACCCACTACCCTGGCGTTACAAGCGCCATGCTCTACCAATTGAGCTACAGAGGACCACTGGCTTTTGAGTATAATATAATCAGAAATGACCAATTATCAATGCTTCATTTGCTGTGTTAAAAAGGCTACCTGTTACAGTTGCTTTCTGCCTAAGAGTTTAATTAAATGGCTGGTTTATCTAATGATGAGACGCATGTTTAATTTGTGAGTCTAAACATCTCAATGAGATTAAATCATGATTATCTTAGCCCGCTGTGTGTTTGGCTCAGGATCAATCCAGCCACGCCATATACACTGCACAACTGATTACGAGCCACGGTGATTCAGCATCCAGCTATCTGTCAATGATGTGGAGCCTTGACCTTACTGCACAGAGGATGTTATTGGGGGAAGTTCACTGTCTGTCTGAGGTATTGGACGTCCCCATTTCTAAACACAATCGTCCTCATAGTGAAACCAGACCGAGCGCTACCAGATATGGAAACAGTTGCATCACGTTGTTCCAACGGATGTCTATTTTCACCATATGGTTTCATTTCTGTATAAAGATCTGGTGACGGAAATTTACCAGCACTGAAACGGTAAGTGCGCCATGGGGCCTGAGCAACCATCGGAGCCTCCCTTTTATTACTAAATTGTGTAATGTAAACCAGACTAGTGCCCCCTGGTGGTGTGGCTGACCAACCTGCAGCTCCCTGTTGTGGTTTTCACACAGCAGCTGCATGAGGCGCAGGATGGGCTGCATGATGGTGATAATGACGCTCATCTCCCCTTCCTGGTCGTCTGGAGTGCTGGCGGGGCCCTGACCCTCAGAGGCAGCCAGGTGCTCCTCTGCCTCGGCCTCGCGCCGGTACCTTGTGAACGCCTTCTTAGTGACCGTGGACGCCTCCACAAGTTGCTCCTTGACCTCCTCCGTCACTATGGTAACCGCCACCGTAGACACCACTGCCACCTCCATTCCTGTAGAGAGAGGAGCAGGAGAATTCAGAGACACACACAGCGAAGGGCAACAGAGTAAGACATGGGAGAGTCTCACTGCACAGTGCACACAGGAGCAGAGCTGTAGCTGTCACAGAACGTGAGCTTGTTTGTGAATGACTGATGTATGATTTGTGACATGTTCTGAGTGCAGTAAATTCACTGCATTGACTGTCTCAGTAGACAGGAACAGGATGTTGTTCACACCAGGCCCGCTATCCTGACCCCTGACCTTTCTTTCCTTTAGCAGTGGGCGTGTCCTTGTCCGGGGGCTCCTCGTCTTTCTTCTTGCTGCCCAGGTCGCTGGTGTTGACGGTCACAGTGGCCTTGATCTCCTGCTGGGCTAGCTTCATCCTCTCATAGAACACCTTGAAGAACATCTCCGACTTGTTTTCCCCCGTCAGGCGCATGAAGAAGGATTTCTGGACACGGACAAGAATAACAAGTAAATGTGGATGTAAGAGGTTTTGTTTGAGTTCATTCTGTGTTTGTATGGGAAGCGGTAGCTAGAGGGATTCATAGTGAGGTATTATGATAATGTTGTCAGATAATCTACATGTTTCCCATTGTAAGCGATACAAGGTAAACAGCTCAAAGGTCTGTTATATTTGTTGTTCCGTTTGTTGGCAGTTTGACCACGTCTCTCCGTCTGTCTGTCTGTCTGTCTGTCTGGCTGCTATGCACCCAGAGGCTCTCTCTCTCTCTGAAGCTCTGTTAAATAACCCTCAGCTCTCAGCCCTATGCCAAGGAAATAACCTGGAGTGCCTCCATGTGCTCACCTGTTTTCACACAATCTGCTCTCTGCCCAAAGGGCACAACTCTACTGGCACCGTGCAGGGCAGGCTGCACTGTACACAAAGTCATACAGCAAACACAGCCAGGTACACAGCAATCACAGGAGGTTTTTCAACTCAAACAACGGTGGCTTTAAGCAAATTCAGCATCAAGTACTTTAGTAATATCACCAAAACAAAACTCTTCAAGTGAAAGTCTAGGACTTTATGTCTATAGTCTAACACTGCAAAACCTATAAAACAAATGTATTTTTTTGCAACCTAATTTGAAAACGTTTTATTCCATGCGTGGGACTTTGCTTTTTCCAGCTAGTATCAACCGGTCCCATTTTCCCCTCATTATCCCTCCAGTCCTTACATAAGGCTTGTAATCAGCTGAGTGGTTGAAGGGAGGGAGCCACTGCAACCGAGCCTCAGCTCAAACACTGTTACATCAGAGAAAAAGGGGGAAAATGGAGGGAAAGAAGAGGTGGAAAATCCTTCCCTGCTTTTTGAGCGCCAGAGTGGCACGAAGTGTGTGCGTGGTGTGAGAGGGAAGAGGGAGGGGGAGGGAGGGGAGACCAGAGGCGGGTGGGAGTTATCGCATGAATTCTGGAGCAGTTTGAAAACCTCTTACATAACCAGCCTTCTTTCCAGGTTGAGACTCAACTCATTGAAGTCCCTCTGTCAGAGATAAGGGAACATCAGTATACAAAAGTTGAAGGAAAAACTGAAATATTATAGTAAAACTGTGCATGCATTCAACAGTACTCATAGAATTCCACCAGTAACCGTGACCTGGGAGTAAGCACTCAAAGTTCAACTTAAGTTAATTGAAGCACTTTGTACCCCTTTAAAATAACTTTCCAATAAACAACAAAAATGTAAAAAGAAAGAATGCTAGTTAAGTCAATCTTGTTGACAAGACCAGAGTCATTCATTGATAGTGATCAGCAGTGGTTATGTAAGCAGGCAAACCTCCACCCATTGCCACACAGAGGGGACAACTGCCAGAAAGCAACTTTATAACAACATTACCCAGTTCAAATGGGAAGCCCTCATGACTGTGACCATAAACAAGTAATTTCATCTCCAATCGCTTGGATGACAATAATTATGTCAACACCTGACTGCCTTATGACAATGTCCAAGAAAACAACAACAACAACAGCAGCAGGAATAGAGCTGGCTAAGGAAAAACATACAGAACCAGTCAAAAGTTTGGACACGCCTACTCATTCCAGGGTTTTTCTTTATTTTTATTATTTTCTACATTGTAGAATAATAGTGAAGACATCAATACTATGAATAAACACATATGGAATCATGTAGTGACCAAAAAAAAGTGTTAAACTGTCTCCCGAGTGGCGCAGTGGTCTAAGGCACTGCATCGCAGTGCAAGCTGTGCCACTAGAGATCCTGGTTCGAAACCAGGCTCTGTCGTAGCCGGCCGCGACCGGGAGACCCATGGGGCGGCGCACAATTGGCCCAGCGTCGTACAGGGTAGGGGAGGGAATGGCCGGCAGGGATGTAGCTCAGTTGGTAGAGCATGGTGTTTGCAACGCCAGGGTTGTGGGTTTGTTTCCCACAGGGGGGCCAGTATAAAAAACTAAAAAAGGTTCAAATGTAAAAAATTAAACATTGTATGCACTCACTAACTGTAAGTCACTCTGGATAAGAGTGTCTGCTAAATGACTAAAATGTTAAACAAATCAAAATATATTTGAGATTCTTCAAATAGCCACCCTTTGCCTTGATGACAGCTTTGCACACTCTTGGCATTCTCTCAACCAGCTTCACCTGGAATGCTTTTCCAGCAGTCTTGAAGGAGTTCCCACATATGCTGAGCGCTTGTTGGCTGCTTTTCCTTCACTCTGCCGTCCGACTCATCCCAAACCATCTCAATTGGGTTGAGGTCGGGGGATTGTGGAGGCCAGGTCATCTGATGCAGCACTCCATCACTCTCCTTCTTGGTAAAATAGCCCTTACACAGCCTGGAGGTGTGTTGGGTCATTGTCCTGTTGAAAAACAAATGATAGTCCCACTAAGCCCAAACCAGATGGGATGGTGTACTGCTGCAAAATGCTGTGGTAGCCATGCTGGTTAAGTGTGCCTTGAATTCTAAATAAATCACAGACAGTGTCACCCCACACCATAACACCTCCTCCTCCATGCTTTACGGTGGGAACTACACATGCAGAGATAATCAGTTCAACCACACCGCGTCTCACAAAGACACGGCGGTTGCAACCAAAAATCTCAAATTTGGACTCCAGACCAAAGGACAAATTTCCACCAGTCTAATGTCCATTGCTCGTGTTTCTTGGCCCAAGCAGGTCTCTTCTTATTATTGGTGTCCTTTAGTAGTGGTTTCTTTGCAGCAATTCGACCATGAAGGCCTGATTCACACAGTACCCTCTGAACAGTTGATGTTGAGATGTGCCTGTGACTTAAACTCTGTGAAGCATTTATTTGGGCTGCAATTTCTGTGGGTGGTAACTCTAATGAACTTATCCTATTTAGCAGAGGTAACTCTGGGTCTTCCATTCCTGTGGTGGTCCTCATGAGAGCCAGTTTCATCATAGCGCTTGATGGTTTTTGCGACTGCACTTTTCCAAATTGACTGACCTTCATGTCTTAAAGTAATGATGGACTGTCGTTTCTCTTTGCTTATTTGAGCTGTTCTTGCCATAATATGGACTTGGTCTTTTACCAAATAGGGCTATCTTCTGTATACCCCCCCTACCTTGTCACAACACAACTGATTGGCTCAAACGCATTAAGAAGGAAATAAATTCCACAAATTAACTTTTAAGTAGGCACACCTGTTAATTGAAATGAATTCCAGGTGACTACCTCATGAAGCTGGTTGAGAGAATGCCAAGAGTGTGCAAAGCTGTCATCAAGGCAAAGGGTGGCTATTTGAAGAATTTCAAATATTAAATATATTTTGATTTGTTTAAACACTTTTTTGGTTACTACATGCTTCCATATGTGGTATTTCATAGTTTTGATGTCTTCACTATTATTCTACAATGTAAAAAATTGTAAAAATTAAGAATGAGTAGGTGTGTCCAAACTTTTGACTGGTAGTATAGTTCCAAATCATTTTTAGATTGCAAATTAACCACAAGATGCCCAAACAAATATAATGTTTGACTAAAACAATCATTTCAAACCTTGCTTACATTTGTATATGATCATGTGTCGTGTCTCTCTATTATGTGTGGGAATACTTGGGAAGAGATTTCTTAAATTAAAATCACTTGGAGCTGATTTCCTGGTGTTTTTTACAGTCTTTTATGTCCAACATAAAAAATATATAAATATATATATAAAGAAAAAAATATATATATTTTTTGGCTCTGAAAACTTTGTGGGACAAATAAAACCACCCGCCGGCCGCCAGTTGGGGAACCCTGGCCTAGGCATTAAGGTGCCATTACTAGGTGATACTCAATAGTACTTGGGCATTGCCAAGTGACATTTAATCCCCTCCCTCACCCAACCACAGGCCTGTGGCCCGCCTTTTACCACATGCATGACAGATGGCAAACAAGGATACTGTTCATGTGTACAATACATGCCCATGGCATGAGGGCAGTGACCTTTCCTGCAGCGGGAATGTCCCACAATGCATCACAGCTAGGATAGATGGGGAAACAGAACAGAGTAGAACAATAACCTTTTCCTTTACCATCTGAAGCAGAGTGCAGCAGAGCCACACACACACCTGTTGCATCTGCACTCTAGCCCTCTAGATTCTAATAACCAGCATGGCTGTGGTGGTAAGCTTATTTATCCCTGGGCCCTGGGCATGCACCATCAACCTGGTGATTCATTCTTCCAGGAAACCACCAGCTTGTGCTCTGCAGCAGCTTAGACCCTGCCTGCAAGGCCCACTGGGTGCACTAAGCCCTCTGTATCAAAAGCCCCCGAGGCCCCTGTCGACCCTGGCGCTCACCGTCACGTACAGTAGGCTGGGCCCCGCCCCCAGGTCTCTCTTTACAACAAACAAGGTCATTATGCATTCCTATCTTTCTCTTTTTTATGTTCCTCCTCTTCACTGCTGTCCCGGCTCTTGGCATCAACAAGGGGCAGTTATGTAAGCTCTATTTATATCACTGGCTCCCTCGCTCCCTCTCTCTCCCTTGCCTCCTCTCTCCTAAAGCTTCAGTAAGCAAAATTGCTGTGGCTGTAATCACTGGGGGGCACCGTACCGTACCCACCCAGCCGGTAACCACGGCGACCCGCTCTGGGAGGGGAGCATGCTGGGAGGGAGCAAGCTGCGGCACTTCACTTCACTGAGTTCTACAGAGGCCCGGTCATATAATTATAAGAGGATAGAAAAACAAACAAATCAACCAACCAACCAACCAGTATCTAATCACAACCCCTGCCAGCCACTGCCATCAGCATGGTGGAACTGTAGGGGGGAGTTAAGGAGTGCTTGGAACACTGTGTGGTAGTGAGAAGCGAGATCATTGATTACTAATAAGAGAACAGTTTATGAAGGTGGAGAAAATACCCTGATTGCTGAAGAGTGTTGTAACTCAAGAAACTAACGAAAAAGGGCAGACCGACAAATGACCAAGAATCCCACCCCATAAGAATATACACATACATACACTACCGGTCAAAAGTTTTAGAACACCTACTCATTCAAGGGTTTTTCTTTATTTTTACTATTTTCTACATTGTAGAATAATAGTGAAGACATCAAAACTATGAAATAACACATATGGAATCATGTAGTAACCAAAAAAGTGTTAAACAAATCTAAATATATTTTATATTTGTGATTCTTCAAATAGCCACCTTTTGCCTTGATGACAGCTTTGCACAATCTTGGCGGTTAGCTCTAGGAAGAGTCTTGGTGGTTCCAAACTTCTTCCATTTAAGAATGATGGAGGCCACTGTGTTCTTGGGGACCTTCAATGCTGCAGACATTTTTTGGGACCCTTCTCCAGATCTGTGCCTCAACACAATCCTGTCTCGGAGCTCTACGGACAATTCCTTCGACCTCATGGCTTGGTTTTTGCTCTGACATGCAACTGTGGGACCTTATATAGACAGGTATGTACTTTTCCAAATCATGTCCAATCAATTGAATTTACCACAGGTGAGTCTAACCTCGCTTTGTGCACGGGGGCATTGTCATGCTGAAACAGGAAAGGGCTTTCCCCAAACTGTTGCCACAACAGAATAATCTAGAATGGCATTTTATGCTGTAGGGTTAACATTTCCCTTCACTGGAACTAAGGGGCCTAGCCCGAACCATGAAAAACAGCCCCAGACCATTATTCCTCCTCCACCAAACTTAGCAGTTGGCACTATGCTTTGGGGCAGGTAGCTTTCTCCTGGCATCCGCCAAACCCAGATTTGTCCGTCGGACTGCCAGATGGTGAAGCGTTATTCATCACTCCAGAGAATGCGTTTCCACTGCTCCAGAGTCCAATGGTAGCGAGCTTTACACAACTCCAACCGACACTTGGCTGGAGTTGTGTAAAGCTCGGCCATTGAAACCCATTTCATGAAGCTCCAGACAAACAGTTGTTGTGCTGATGTTGCTTCAAGAGGCAGTTTGGAACTCGGTAGTCAGTGTTGCAACCGAGGACAGACGATTTCATCACGCTACACGCTTCCGCACTCTGCAGTCCCGTTCTGTGAGGTTGTGTGGCATACCTTTTCGCGACTGAGCAGTTGTTGCTCCTAGATGTTTCTACTTCACAATAACAGCACTTACAGTTGACCGGGGCAGATCTAGCAGGGCAGAAGGTTGAAGAACTGACTTGTTGGAAAGGTGGCATCCTATGATGGTGCCACGTTGAAAGTCACTGAGCTTTTCAGTAAGGCCATTCTACTGCCAATGTTTGTTTATGGAAATTACATAGCTGTGTACTCGATTTTATACACCTGTCAGCAACGGCTGTGGCTGAAATAGCCAGATTTACTAATTTGTAGGGGTGTCCACATACTTTTGTATACATAGTTTATATACATACATATATACATACAGTGCATTAGGAAAGTATTCAGACCTCTTTATTTTTTCCACATTTTGTTACATTACAGCCTTATTCTATTAATTTTTTTTATCCTCATCAATCTACACACAATACCCCATAATGACAAAGCGAAAACAGGTTTTTAGAAATGTTTGCAAATGTATAAAAATTAACTTGAAATTGAGCTCAGTTGCATCCTGTTTCCATTGATCATCTTTGAGATGTTTCTACAACTTGATTAGAGTCCACCTGCGGTAAATTCAATTGATTGGACATGATTTGGAAAGGTACATACCTGTCTATATAAGGTCCCACAGTTGACAGTGCATGTCAGAGCAAAAACCAAGCCATGACATCGAAGGAATTGTCCGTAGAGCTCCGAGACAGGATTGTGTCGAGGCACAGATCTGGAGAAGGGTACCCAAACATTTCTGCAGCATTGAAGGTCGCCAAGAACACAGTGGCCTCCATCATTCTTAAATGGAAAAGGTTTGGAACCACCAAGACTCTTCCTAGAGCAGGCCGCCCAGGCAAACTGAGAAATCGGGGGAGAAGGGCCTTGGTCATGGAGGTGACCAAGAACCCGATGGTCACTCTGACAGAGCTCTAGAGTTCCTCTGTGGAGATGGGAGAACCTTCCAGAAGGACAACCATCTCTGCAGCACTCCACCAATCAGGACTTTATGGTAGAGTGGCCAGACGGAAGCCACTCCTCAGTAAAAGGCACATGACAGCCCGCTTCGAGTTTGACAAAAGGCACAAAAAGACTCTCAGAACATGAGAAACAAGATTCTCTGGTCTGATGAAACCAAGATTGAACTCTTCGGCCTGAATGCCAAGCATAACGTCTAGAGGAAACCTGGCACCATTCCTACAGTGAAGCCTGGTGGTGGCAGCATCTGTAGTGTCCTCATGTAAATAGCCTGTTTTTTTTTGTATTTTTTGTATATATTTCTCAATCTCACTTTCCATCCTTTAACTAAATATACTTTCCTGCAACCCGCCTCACCCAATGTGGAACGGATTCTATAATTTTTTATACCTTCGCCATAGCATATTGGATTTTCTGCCGGAATCACTGAATCACTGGACCTTAACACTGGATCATCGCAACTAGCTAGCTGCAACCGAATGGCTGTTGTTGTTGTTGGCTAATCACCGCTGTCCAGTAGCAAGCCCCAGTTAGCCTTGAGCTAGCCTCGAGCCCATCTCCTATAGCTATCTACCTCTCTGTCAACCGGACGGGACCTCCTAGTATTGACACGGAGCCCCGCCGATCCATCATGACTGGTCTGCCGACATAATCGTCTGATGTGGTTTCAACAGGCTTCCCGTTGCAATGACCACGAAGATCCATCTGCTAGACCCAGCCCGCTAGCACACGCAATCAACTGCCGTGCCTCCCACTCGCCTGTGCCGTAGCAGCCACTGAACTGAACTGCTCCCGGACTCACCTATTGCTGTTCACTGGACCTTATGATCACTCAGCTACACAGCTGATGCCTGCTGGACTGTTCCTTTATACGGTACCCCATCCTGTTTATCTGTTTAGCCTCAGCTCAAACTTTTGTCACCATTACCAGCTGTTGTCTTAGCTCCCTCGAATTACACGGTTAGTTCTTACTGTACTTTTTCACTGTAGAGCCCCCAGTGCCACTCAACCTGCCTCAGACAGCTCCTTTGTCCCACCCCCCACACACGTGGAGACCGGCTCAATCGGTGCCTCCAGTGATGCTATCTCTTTCATCGTTACCCAACGCTTTGGTTTACCTCCACTGTACTCATATCCTTCCATATCCTTGTCTGTACATACTGCCCTGAATTTATTCTACAACGACCGTAAATCTGCCTCTTTTATTCTCTGTACCCAACGCACTAGAAGACCAGTTCTTAAAGCCTTTAGCCGTATCCTTATTCTATTCCTCCTCTGTTCCTCTGGTGATGTAGAGGTTAACCAAGGCCCTGTAGCCCCCAGTATCACTCCTACTCCCCAGGCGCTATCATTTGTTGACTTCTGTAACCGCAAAAGCCTTGGTTTCTTGCATGTTAACATCAGAAGCCTCCTCCCTAAGTTTGAGTTATTCACTGCGTTAGCACACTCAGCCAACCCTGATGTTCTAGCAGTGTCTGAATCCTGGCTTAGGAAGGCCACCAAAGATTCAGAAATGTCCATTCCCAACTACAACATTTTCCGTCTAGATAGAACTGCCAAAGGGGGCGGAGTTGCAATCTACTGTAGAGATGCCTGCAGAGCTCTATCATACTATCCAGGTCTGTGCCCAAACAGTTTGAGCTTCTACTTCTAAAAATCCACCTTTCCAGAAATAAGTCTCTCACTGTTGCCACTTGCTACAGACCCCCCTCAGCCCCCAGCTGTGCACTGGACACCATATGTGAATTGATTGCCCCCCATCTATCCTCAGAGTTCGTATTGCTTGGTGAACTAAACTGGGACATGCTTAACACCCCGGCCATTCTACAATCTAAACTAGATGCCCTCAATCTCACACAAATTATCAAGGAACCTACCAGGTTCAACCCTAAATCCGTTAACATGGGCACCCTCATAGATATCATCCTGACTAATTTTCCCTCTAAATACACCTCTGCTGTCTTCAACCAGGATCTCAGCGATCACTGCCTCATCGCCTGCGTCCGTAATGGGTCCGCGGTCAAACGACCACCCCTCATCACTGTCAAACGCTCCCTAAAACGAGCAGGCCTTTCAAATTGACCTGGCCCGGGTATCCTGGATGGATATTGACCTCATTCCGTCAGTAGAGGATGCCTGGTTGTTCTTTAAAAGTGCTTTCCTCTCCATCTTAAATAAGCATGCGCCATTCCAAAAATTCAGAACTAAGAACAGATATAGGCCCTGGTTCACCCTAGACTTGACTGCCCTTGACCAGCACAAAAACATCCTGTGGCGTACTGCATTAGCATCGAACAGCCCCTGCGATATACAACTTTTCAGGGAAGTCAGGAACCAATATACACAATCAGTTAGGAAAGCAAA